GACACACGGACCGGGGCAGCGGGCGCTGACAGCGTGCGGGGCCCGGCAGGGGCGAGGCCCCGCTGCCCGCTCCGCTCCCCCCCCACACCCCCACCGCCTCCCCCCGGCCCCCGCCGCCGCCCCGCCGCCCCCGGCCCCACCTGAGCGGCGGCTCCGCGGCCCCAAGGCCCCGCCGCAGCCCCGGCACGGCCCTGCCCGGCGGCTGCCCGCGGCCACCGGCTCCCGCAGGCCCCGCCCCGCCCCGCCGCTGGCTCCCCCCAGCGGCCGCTACCGAGCGGCGACACCGCCACCAGCCTCGCCCCCGCCCTCCCCGTTAGCCCCCGGCTCCCAGCGGGGCCCCTCACCTGCGCGGCGGCTGCCCCGGCACCGGCACCGGCAGCGGCAGCGGGGGGAGGTGGAGGTGGAGGCGGCGGCGGCGTCGCCCCGGCGCCCCCCGCCCCCTGGCGGCCTCCCCCGGCGCTGCGTCAGCCCCCGCGGGCCGCTTGGCTCCTCCGCCGCGCCGTACCGGCCCCCCCGCCCCTCCCGCCCCTTCCTGCGAGCAGGCGGCGGCGGCGGCCGGGCCCGGCACAGGTACGGGGCGGGAGGGGAGGGGGCGCGCGGGGCGGCCGTTGGAGCGGCCGTTGGAGCCCGCCCCGCCGCGGGGCTCAGCCCCTGCGCAGCGCCTGCCCGCGGGCACCGGCACGCAGCGGGTGCTTCCCCGCTGCTGAGAGGAGCTAAAAAGCCTCTCTTTTTTTCTTGGAATATGAAGCAGTCTGGCTGCTTTTAGAAAGAAGTATCCCTACGTAAATAACGTATTCTTAGGTATTTGAGAAATATTCTTGCCAGATCTTTTCTCCAGAACAAGCGCCTTTTTTTTCCATAGAATCATTTACGTTGAAAAGCCTCCAGGACCATCTGGTCCAACCGCCCCCCTACCACCAATGTCACCCCCTAAACCATGTCCCTAAGCTCCACATCCAAGCTTTTACTGAACGCCCCCAGGGACGGTGACTCCACCATCCCCCGGGCAACCCGTCCCAGTGCCTGGCTGCTCTTCCTGAGGAGAAATGTCTCCTCGTTGCCAACCTGAACCTCCCCTGGTGCAGCTTGAGGCCATTCCCTCCAGTCCTATCACTAGTTATCTGCAAGAAGAGCTCCCCCAGCTCCCCACACCTTCCTTTCAGGCAGCTGTAGAGATCCATAATGTCTCCCCTGAGCCTCCTCTTCCCCAGCCCAAACGCCCCCAGCTCCCTCAGTTGCTCCTCACAGGACTTGTTCTCCAGGCCCCTCACCAGCTTTGTGGCCCTTCTCTGGACACGCTCCATGGCCTCGATGTCCTTCTTGTAGTGAGGGTCCCAAAGCTGAACACAGCACTCAAGGTGCAGCCTCACCAGGGCAGAGTACAGGGGGACGATCACCTCCTGCTACTGCTGGCTGCACTATTCCTGATCCAAGCCAGGATGCCATTGGCCTTCTTGGCCACCCAACCACCCTGCCGGCTCATCCATCTTTACAAACGTGGAATGAGTTGTTCAGGAGTGAATTGTTCACGTGTTGTTTCTGTAACTGTGAGGTGTTCAAGTTTCACACCTGGAAAAAAGCTTGTATGCCAAACAAATTGCTTCTCTTTTCCTTAAGTTCTGTCTGTTGTCATAATAAGAGATCGTCTCTTGTAAACCTAGCTCATCATTTGTTATAAGAGATAATTTTCTTTATAATTTCATTAAAAGATTCTTTGGGATTGAGTGCCAGGTAATTCATTCGATGAAACATCTTCTATACAAAATTATGTAGTAATGCAAATAAAGTGAGAAGTGACATGAGGTACCTATATTCTTAGAAAGCAAACAGATGACAAATTTAGAATGTTTTGGAGTGGTCTGTGCTGGTATTGATGTATTTTTAACCAATAAAACTTTGTGGATCCTTTGCAGGCAAAAGTGACGATGGGGCATAATTTTAAAACAGTGAACAGAATCGTGTAGGAGTGAAGTAATTTATACCTAACATAGCTATTAAGAATGCTTAATAGTCATGCATGCCCTAAAACCAGAACAATATGCAGTCTCAAGCACAGCAACACATACATTAAACTAATCCGTTTGTATTGGAAGTGGGTTTGTAATTGCAGGGGAGGTAGGGTCCTATAACTGCTTTCAACTGATGTATTGATGTTCACAAGGCTGTCATAACAGGAAACTCACCATAATGGGGAGATAATTTTCTTATCCTGTGTTCCAGAAATACAGGAATTTACTGGATAGGCTTCATTTCAGATATTGGATGGTTTTGCATATTCTTAAAGAGAAACACTCCCTCACAAATTTACCAAGTTTATATGCTGAAGCTGGATAAAGGTTATAAAAATCTTTATGAATTATTGTGTTGTGGTTTGTGCAGGGAGGGTGTCATCATCCCAGACATTCCAGAAGTAAACCCAGTCCTGTCTGATAAACCTGAGGGTTAAAGGGATTTGCTTCTGAAGCCACACACACAAATTCCACTGAATTAACTGGGACTGCTTGAAGGTATGTCAAATCTGAAACGTGCGTAACTGAGGAGAAATTGTTAACATTGTGTTCCTATGCCTTGAAAGCAAATACGTTTTAACTACTGCAGATGGCACAAACTTTCTGTGTTAGATGTTTTCACTCTCCTTTTGGAGTGCTTCTACTGTAGAACATAGCCTAGGTCAACAGCAATGAGAGGCATTGATAGGGTATAGGCAAGCATCGGAGGCCAACACCCAGATTTTTCTCAGCAGCTGCTCCATTCACTACCCCCATACAAACCAATACACTCTTTAGAGTGCTGCTGAAAATTAATATTTCATAGCTGGTTTCCCCAAACAGCCTTTTTTTGATTGAATACCTGATTTGTTGAAATTTTAAGCTTTTGCTATTGACGTTTTTAAAAAGCAACATTAAACACAATAGTGGTAAAAGCTGTTAAGATTCTTTGCCTGTTCTAGCCTACCAAGGCTGTGTTCTGCAGCATTGTGCAATGTCTGTAGTCATATGTGTGTTTTTCTCAGCAATAAGAAAACTTTCTGAGAGTATTAGCAGTTAAAATGAAAACAACTCCCCATAAATAATAAATAATGGTCACAGATGTAATAAATTATAATTCCTAGGTATCTCTAAACCATCCTCTAAATCATCTCCATACAGAGCAAGAATATATGAACTTGAATTTTTAGTATTTAAAGGCAGATTGAAAATATGGCTTTTTAGCACTGGTTAATGCATCAGGAAATCTCCTACCGCTGCCCTGGAGGGTATTTGAGGCTCTTTTGTTCTCTAGTCAATAGCTTATCATTATTATCTACTTCAATATTTTGATGTTTCATGTGAGTTAAAACATACAGCAAGAAGGGGAGTGAGGAAACAGCATCCTACTGAGGAGTGGAAATCTTGCCTTTCCTGGTTCCGGTGTCAAGGGAGATTTGTAATTCCATTTGCAGAATTAACATTTCTTTCTTCTGAACTCCTGCTCAAATAATTTTGAAATTGAAGTCCCATCACTTTGAAATGTTCTGAGAATTGCTTGGAGGCTTAGGGCCTTGCTGTGCTGCGTTTCACCGGCTTGAAAAAAGAAATCACATTGCTCCAGTAGAATGTTTGGCTTAAACAAGATTCACAGCTGAAGCAAACTGTTGGTACAAGCAAAGCCTGAAACTAAACCAGCATCAGCTGTCTCATTCACACAAGCTGTACAGTAAATCATAACTTGAATACAAACCACTGACATGTTTAAACTGTTTATTGCAAAGACATATATTGCTAGAATTTTCTAGTGGAATCCGATCCATTAGATTAAAACCATATGATGTGACGCTATTTTTAGTGGAATTCTGTTTCCTCATTCTCATTCAAAATCAACCCCCATACCTTAGTCAGAGTTTTGTTAAAGCTGTATCTCGTTTTAGAATTTAAACTGACAATGGTGCACACCTGATAAAAACTTAAAGGGTTTAATACTGATTTCAGTTAAAGCAGTATTACTTCAAACTGGCACCCACCTGCTGTGTATATAGATTTGTGGCAAACTGCTAACAGGGCTGTGTAGGCACATGCACACATTTCTTTCATTGTTTTTTTCTCCCACAGGCTTTATACCGATTAGGATCTGATTTAAGCTGCCTAGAGTGAAAAAATATGCAGTATTGTTCAAACTTTGCTTTCCTCCACCACTCCCTCACCTCTTTTTTTCTCTCTCTAAATGTCTCCCTGCTATGGATGCAGTGGACTCTGCTTAAAAAGGCGAATAGCCTACTTAAATCATGAGTACATCTCCTGGTAATATGAATTTCTATACGTTCTGTTCCAAAACCAAATATGCTAACCACAAATTGCAGCTAACCTTTGATTGCAACATATTTAACTGTATAAGCTCTGTGCAATTACACAACTATGGGACAAAAGGTAAATAATTGTAGCCAAGCAAAATTAAGGAGAAGTTTAGCTACACCTGGTATAATTATCGGTATTCACACTTGCCGAGGAAACGGCTATTATCCTTTTTTCTGAAAACTAAGTTCTTCTAAGTTCTTACTAAAAATTTGGATTCCTTGTTTAGAGATCAGAAAAACGACTTGTTTGAAAAAATGCTGAACGTAAAGTACAGTAGCAAAACATAATATTTATTAGGCTCCTACTGACTGTCAAATATCACTATCTGTAGAGGAATTTAAACTTTATCCAACTGTTTTGATATCCCATCTGTCCTGTGTGTAGATTGACTTGCCTTCTATTTGTGTTGTATACAGAAGTCTTGTGGACTGATAGACTAAAGCCAGCTGTACTCAGCCTTTGTGCAAATACAATCGAGATTGCCTCTGTGGGCTCATACCAAAGTGTTGCTGTATAAGCTCAGCACCACTTCTCCAGCAGCACAGAGGAGTGGAAGCCCAGTTACCAGTGGGCAATTGTTGGATACTGACTTGGAAAAGGGTGCCATCTACTGAGTTATCAGCACAGCTTCTTAAAACGTGTTCTGTACAGCTTCTGTATGATTTTCAACTCTCTGGTTTATGTGATACCACCATAACCCAAGGCAGTTATAGTCAAAACAATCTAAAATGGAGATGAACAAGTCAGGGTATGGACAAGTACAGTTTTAGAAAGTTCTTCCTGCTTTTTATCAAAGTATTGGTGAATACTGAAAGCAATGTAGGAAGACAGTGCTGAAGGATCTGAAAGAGTGAGATGTTTTGGTTTTCCTTACCTAGAATGGTACAATGCATTCACGCTTATCTAAAAGGAAAAAAATATATATATACATATATATGTTACCAGTTTCATATTTAGAATAATGACTCAAAATATTTTGCTGGTGTTGTTCTAGTCTGATCTTATATGAGATCCAGATGCTGTGGAATTTTTACTTATTTATTTTACTAGCAAAAATAATACATTTGTTCTTTAAATAAAATAATCATTTAATTCAATTCAAGCTCACCCTCATTGTTTTTAATGAAGGACCAGAGCAGCACCTCTGCTTCTCGGATGAAGCTAGCTATTTTTGCCTACATAGCATAACATATATAAGAAGAAGAATTTTAACTGTTACAAAACATCACAATTTCTAATTGGTCCTGCAGAAGTTCCATGGAGTGAGAATTATAATATTAATGTCTAATCTATTGCAGTGGACTCAACGCTTGCTGGGCATTGGACTTCAACACCTTTTTGACATGTCTTCGTATGGACTGTTGGTCCTGTTATTTTCAGTGTTTGTATTTTCTTTTATTTTCAGGGATGCCTGAAAGTCAAGGGAAAGACAGCGAAAGCCACATCAGCAGCACTTCCAGCACTAGCAATTCAGTTGCTCACTTTGGACAGGTCAGTTCCTTTGTCCTGAGAGGAAAGTGGAAGTTCTGTGCTTGCACTTCTGGAAACCTGCTCTACATATTTATTTCCTCCTTTTAAAGTTGGATGCTGTGCCATAAAATGGCTCATTTTATTCTCTTGTATTGGAGATGGCTTGGCTGATGTTCACACACATTCTCAGTACTGGTTCGGAAAAGTAAATTGTTTTCATTCACCTACTTAAAATAAATAAATTGGGGAAAAATGTACAATAATCAATTTTCCTTTTTGGCAGTGAATTCCCTTCCCCACAATAGGCATTTATATGTAGTTTCTTAATGTGCATGTACATTCTCCATTTTTCCTTACATCTTCTAGTAACAAGTTCACATTCTAGTACCAGAAAAAGACCAAGTTATTCCCTTAAGTTAAACAGAATCAAAGATAAATGTGTGAGGTTTGGCAGGCACTAGAACTAAATGGCACATACATACTGTCAAATACTGTTCTACTGAGTGATGAGGCAGCCAATATGTGAATACACAATACTTATGATACAGGTGGTGAAATCTTTGTTCTGTCCCACAGTGTAGCGTAGCAGCACTAGCTTTATCATGTTTGAATCCTTAAACATGCAATTAGGCCTCTCTAACCTTTGCAGAATGTAAACTGTATTTCTGCTAACACATGCAGCAAAAGTTACAACACTCTGGGCTTCCTAATGATACCAGTGATGCTGGAGTTATCCTTCCCTGCACTAGGGGAATATGCCGAACACAACTCAATACATTTCTAGTTTGGTTGCCTGAGCTGCTGTCCTCTTTGACTTTGATGGAATATGGTGATAGAGTAAGGTTAAACGTTGCTTTGTTGGAGTTTTTAGAGATACTTTTACTATGAAGAATTATATTTTATTTTTGAGAGGTATGTACAAACATATACTTGTATGCTTATGTTAGGCAGCCATGACTACGACAATGACCACATTAAGATTTTGATAGGACACTAACAGACCTGTCTCATTTAAGTTCTTCTAATATAAGTGATGCTTATGAAAAATGGAAAAAAAATGCTACGGTTTAATAATTAGTGCTTGTATACATGTGACCTCAAGAATAAGGGAAAAAAAAAGAAAAAAAAAACAAACAATATAATGCACAAGTGTATACACACACCCCAACTTGTCAGTTACACCCTGATTCTAAAAATGGATCATACACCTCTTGAAAGGACAGGATTTGGAAAAAATGGAATTAAGAATTGAAATGAGGAGAAGAGGGGGAGCTAATACGGAGGGAATGAGAAATTTTGTCTTTGTTTTCATCAAGTGTCAATATACAGCAAGTGAGTATCAAGCTATCCAGCATGCTCTTCGTCAGAAACTGGGTCCAGAATATATCAGCAGTCGACAAGCTGGAGGAGGACAAAAGGTATGAATAAACTTGCACAGATATTTCAACTCACTTTTTTCTTTTCCAGGAGAACTACTGTAAAAATAATAAATAAAACGTTTTTGAAATTAATTTCCCACTGGTAGTGCAATATGCAGATATTAAAGTAAAATAAGGATAGAATGAACTCTGGCTTTAACTTAGCCATAGGTCCTTATACACTTTAGGAAAAGCCACTTTTTAGCGCTTCATCCTTTAAAAGGGAATATTTGTCTACTTGTGGAACGTTAAGTTTTTTTTCCAGAACTGGAATATATGAATCATTATATGACATTAGATGTATTTTTACCTCTTTAGCACCTGCTACTTCTACTTCCATTAATTCACTTCTATTTTCAGTCATTTCCCCCCACCATAGTTGTTATCAGGAGAAGGTGAACCTAAATCTGTACCATCATTCACATTATCCTAAATTTAGCTGTGATTCTTCAGTGTAAGATGATCTGTGTAATTTCTTTTTAAAATAAATCATGTATATATGTGTGCATATATGTATATATGCCTTTCTTTTCAGGTGTGCTACATTGAGGGTCACAAGGTGATCAGTCTGGCTAATGAGATGTTTGGCTTCAATGGCTGGGCTCATTCAGTCACTCAACAGAATGTTGGTAAGTACCTCTTTAGGATTAAAAAATAATTTAAAAATCTGTCTTCTTGTTTCACTATGAACCCCTGAAGGAAAAGTCTTTCAAATAAGGACAATGGTATCTATCCAAGAACACGATCACTTATGTGTTTCTTGGTATGTACTTTAAGTGTTAGAACCTGGCAAAAGGCATGTGGAATTTTCAGGTGTCTTACTAGCAGGTAAGAAAGAGAAATTTAATTATAACGTAGGTTTTCTTTTCTGTTTAGCTCTTACACAGGAATATGTCAAATTAATTATTCTAACGGTGCGTATTAGCTATTTTAATCAAGTTTTCTGATCTCTGTGGGAACACCCAGTCAAGAATTACAACAATTAAACCATTTGTTTTAACACCCAGCAGCCCTGAGCCTACTGTCATTCTCACCTGGAATTCTAAAAAAGTATCTCTGAGTTAATATTCCCCTAATCTTTACTGACTTTTTCTTTTTTCCCTACCGATTCCTCTTCTATATTTGTAGCAGAAAGCTTTGAAAAAAAACACTTTCTAGGAAATGATATTCAGATGTTCTTAAAGCTTAAGCTTCCCCTGTCCTGAAAGTTGAAATAGTGGCTGCTAAAGAAGCATTGTCCTTGCAGATCTGTTATGCTTAGGCCCACGTCAAGTTGTTGAAGTAGCTCAAGCCAGCTGATTAAATGTACATCTTTGCTTTTCTGCCCCACTCACTGCCACCCCATCCCCACCCCACCGCATGCCACCCCCCAGACTTTCAGGAATATTTCATATATCTGGCTGGTAGATTCTAGACATAGAACAGGTTATTTCTTGTTTTTTCACCTAGTATGTACCACTTTATTTTTTCCTTTTCAGTCAAGATAAGATTGATATCGTTCAAACTTTTTTTTTCCCCCAAAAAAAATATATTTTATTATAAGTCTTGCCTTAGCAGTTCAGAGACAGAAGATTGTTATACTTGTTTATAAACCCATGTATCAAAAAGTGATTGCACCTCTGTCAAGTTTACAAAATGATCAAGCAGACTAGATGAGTGCAGAAGTTTATATGCATAATACCAGGGTGCAAGTGTTTGGCAGGTCTAGATGCTGATAACCAGAAAACATAGCATAACATACTCACAGCATATATTGAAGTTATTAACTGTAGGCTGAGAATGATATCTTGTAAATCATGCTCCATTTTGTAGAAGACACAGTATCTCGGGCCCATTCAGCGAGTGTGCTGCAGGTTTACAAATATCCTGAAGAAATAGAATAAGATCTACATGTGGATCAGAAGTCTTTTCTATTATTTAGGATGTTACATTTTTTCCCCCCAGATTTTGTTGACCTCAACAATGGCAGGTTCTATGTGGGAGTCTGTGCATTTGTGAAAGTTCAGCTTAAGGTAAGTGGCTTTTTGTTTACTCTGGCTATAGCTGAGCAATTGCTTAAAGCTGGGAAAGAAAGTTGATGCGTTGGTCAGGCTGTGGTTCTCAAAAGTATTGCTCTATACCAGAGAATATAGCGGCACCTAAAACATTGACCTTGCTATAGAACATCCAGCTAAGAGTGAATAATCAGGCTTAGGAAAGCACAACATCTAACGAGAAGTGGTAGATGTGCAGAATCTCCCTTATACTTAGCTGTTTGTTGCGTTGTTGTTTTTTTTTCTAATCTTACTGCAGGATGGGTCATACCATGAAGATGTAGGTTATGGAGTCAGTGAAGGCCTTAAGTCCAAGGCCTTGTCCTTAGAGAAGGCAAGAAAGGAGGCAGTAACAGATGGACTGAAGAGGGCGCTCAAGTAAGTGAAGATCAGTACTTGTACATTTGCAGAAGGGAATTGAGAATTAACTTCTGTTTTCAGTGACAATGAACTGTCTTTGTTTCTCAGGTGCTTTGGGAATGCTCTTGGGAACTGCATCCTAGACAAAAACTACCTACAAGCTGTGAATAAACTTCCTCGTCAGGTGCAGTACATGGTCTTTTACAGCAGGGACTGTTCGATATTGATTGTTCCTGATCATTCATGTTGAAAGGAATTTAATAGCATAAATGCATCTTATTCCTGAATATTTCCTGCTATGACACCCACAGCATTTCTGTGCCAGTTTGATTGCATGAACTCTCTCTTACTGAGTTGTTCCCTAGCATTTTACCAGAGCTACTCCAAAGTTTATTCATTTGCATTAGGCAAGCTTACTGTGGTGAGGAAACACCACAGTGTTAGTATTCTACTCAAGATGTTATGTAACATTTAGTGCCATGTTAAGTCTCTCTTTAGTGCCAGTAATGCATACAGTTACATCTGTGTTCATAACACGTTAAATGCTACACCAGCAATCGTTCACTCTTTAAACTAGCTTTTTCTAGGTGTCATCTCCTACACGTGCTGCAGTTCCTAAGCCCATTTAAGCTTTCTCAGTTGCACCAACTCATTTCATCACTCTCATCCAGCCATTTGTGCTTAAATGTTCATCAGCAATGATACCACTGTCATTCATAGATGTATCACAAATGAAATTGAAATCCTTGGGAGAATAATGTCTGCCAAGGTAGCGTGCATGTTATTTTGCCCTGTATAAGACAAGAGGCAAAACTGTTCTTTGTTTGTTCTCATTGACAGTGGTAGCACAATCTAATTTATTACTTACTTGGAATTTTAAAATCAGATTTATATGACATATTGCTCTCATTGCTGGACTTTTTCAGGAATCAAAAAAAGGATGGGAGTTGGCTTCATACAGTGACACAATAGGCAGTTGCTGGAAGAGGTGATAAGAGGTTGTAGGCAGGGCAGAAGAATAGCCAGACAGTGCATCTATTATCTGCATGACCTACCTTCAAACAGATAAAGCTCCTGTGTGCATTTCTGCAAAATCAGGACAATTTCATTTAGTCCTGAAGTCTCTCAAGGTGACAGCCTGTATGTCAACCGGTGATCAGCAGGCAGAACTGTTCTCTACATTTTAGTGAGTTCTGGCAGAAAATAAGGAGTTTTTCCCATAAGAAAGACTTCATCCTTCGAATAAAGTTATTTAAAATTAAGCAAAATCCATACAGTAGCAATATCAGTATGTGTGCTGATGGTTATCTTGTCCCTTCACTAATCATTATTCAAACCTCTGCAAAGCTCTAATGCACATCACCAGCTAGACAGGAAATATACTCAGCATGGTCGTTGCAAAAAAAGTTTAGTGTGCCTGTATTTTAGCTCTCAGAGGTCTGTTCATTGTTCTGTTTAGAATAGTTAACAAGTAGTTATTTTGGTAACAGTATTTTTGTACTGTGGTCTCAAGCAAAGTTAGTTTCAAAAGGTGATTTCAACTTTCAATGTAACCTAGTTGGGTCCTTCACAAAAGATCACTGCAAAATACTAGCATTTATGCAAAATACTGCAAAAATGCAAAAAAAAAAAAAAAGCAAAATACTATGCATTTATGTTACAAAGGAGGAACCTAAACCTTTTGACTGGATCCTAAAAAATTGCGGCTGTTGCCAGTTGCTTCAAAGTTTTACCACAGAAAAGCAAAAGAGGTAACTGTGTTTTGTTCTTGTGATACATTAGCAGCACACAAGTGTCCCTGCAAACGTCCTCTGCTTGGCTTCAAAATGCGTTGGCACCCAAAAGTTGCAACTGAATGAGGAAAGCTGGGTGCATTAGACTTGGCTGCTGGAGAAAAGAGTAATGTTAGGAAAACACACGTTCTAACTTGCTTTAAATGCCTTAATAGCATATACCACTTAGCAAATGGTGCCTCTTTAATATGAGAATAGTTAGTTTGTACAGCTGATGGGTACATGCTGTTACTTTCCCTGCCATCACTATGGTTCTGAACAGTATGGGTCTTTCTGAACAGTAATAAGCCACGTTACTTCTTGCTTTGCTTTTCAGGCTCCTTACTTACCTTTAGGTTTCAGTTTGCAAGGAAGGAGCTGCAGTTACTCTGCCCTCTGAAGTACTAGGTTAAACAGTGAACCTTCCGAGGTAACCAACACCCTGGAGAAATGCCTCTTTTGGAGGTCTCTGGTCCAGAGAGAGAAAAAAAAAATGTGTTGTACATTCTGTCAGTGACAAAGGTACTGTAAACCTATTCTTTCAGAGCTATCACAAAGCATGCTTTGGCATAATGTAGCAGCCCATATTAGTAGTAAAGGTGCCCTGGCTGTTAATTAACATTAATCTTGTTAGCTCCTGATGTGTACCAGCTGGGGGCAGTAGGCCCCTAGGCAGTAACCTACCTTGCACGTTGGGGAACAAGTAAGCCTTGTACCACTGCTAATCCATGGAGCTGCATAGGAAAGTTACCTTCACCCTAACGGGATCTACTAAACTCTGCTGGTCAGCCTGGAGCTCTAATATGGCTCTGTCTAGCGAACTTAGGCTGTAGGAACTGGTCCAAATTAAAGATGAAACAGATTTCTGTTTTGCCAGGGTCATTTTCTATTAGTGGCATTGCCACAAATATAAAATCACAGAGACAAACCATTCTGTCTTTAATAGAAACAGAGTAGCATACCTTCCTCAGTGACCACATGCTCACAAAGCTATGCAAATGTCTGCCATTGCCCTTTATACACATGTGAAAACAACTGGCAAAAGTAACAGATGCCAACAACAGACTTGTGAGACTGAGGAGCTACAGAATTCTTCCTCTGTTCTCGGCTGCAGCAAGCACAATGTGGGGAGACATGAAATATCTGCCCTGAAGCACTCAACTATTAAACTGACACAAAGTTGCTGGAATTCAGTGATAAACTACATCAGTGATGTATTAAAAATGCATTTGGGTTTCCTATCTTACCGCTCCACTTAGGGCAAACAGAATAAGATTTCCTAACAGTACCACATAGAAAAAGCCTGTGCATATTTCATTAAATTGATTACAGAAATTTCTGAATATATTTTCTTTTTTTTTTTTTTTCTTTTGTAGATGCCCCCTGAGTTAGATTTGGACAAAGCTAAAAGACAGGACTACGAGCCTGAAATTGAGAAAGCAAGATACAACAGCTGTTTGGAAAGGCAGAACACAGGATGGAGACAGCATTGCGAGGCAGCATCTACTTGCAAACCTAGTCACACAGAGGCTTCTGTAGTGACAGAAGATCAGAAACAGCCAAACAGTTCCAGGTGAGACCACTGCTATAAATTTATTTCACAAGATATGTTTGAAGTTACTGTCCACTTTAAAACATGGGGATGGCCCAAAGTGGAAGATGCCATAAAATACCAGTTTAGTGGATTTTGCTTGCTGTTATTTCCTTATACAACTTTCTTCATAAAAGATAGTTGCTGGAATCCTGTTTTAACTAACTTTGTGCTTACTTGGGGGAGGAGCAGAAATTCAGATTCCTTAGCTATTGAGTACGATGCCACTTACCAGCGGAAATTGCGCCAAAAGCAGCTACAGCAACAGTTCCGGGAACAGATGGAGAAGAGATGTCAGGTTACAGAAGTCACTCCTAGCAGCAAACTGGGTAAGATGTGGCATTAAAAACTGACAGTTTTAATGATAGCTACTGGCAGGCATGCATTATTCTTAACGCAGGAGCCTGACCAGTTTCTTTTGCTTTTACCACGTAGTATCACACACCTTTGAGACCAAAGGAAAGAGGATCATCGTACTCGTTTCCCCAAATTCTCAAAGTGGCAGGAATGTCATCTCCAAAACTGCAAAATTAACTCTACAACCACTCTAAAGCTTCACGTAGCACAGCCACTGACACCTGTACCATTAACATGCTGCATCACAGCTGAGGCTGCAGCACTTCATTGAGGCTGGCAAACAGACCTTGCATTAACCACTAATATGTTGGTCCTCACTCATGGGGAAGTTTGGACAGCTGTGTTGTAAGCAGGAACTTGGGGGCAGGGTAAAATAGGCTAAAAAACAGCTTATAGTAATGCAGTTGCTCTCACCAGTCATCATCAGCATCTCACCATTCCACATACTGCTTCCAAAATGTAAGCAGCTGTGGGAAAAGGGGGTACCTGGTGGAACTGGTGATGATCATTTCAGATTATGCTCTGTTAGGGAGGAACAAGAGTTCTTCTGCATTTCTAACTTTAATCTTTGTGTTATCTCTGTCCAGCAACAGCCCATCCTCCTGGAAAACAGGACTCTCCAGCAGCAATACAACAGGAACTAGCAATAGAAGAAGATTTCTTTGCAGGTCAGCCAAAAATAATTAATAACAGCAAGTCATTAACGTTTACATTAACGCTTCAAAGTAGCATAAGGGTAAAAGTTGTGAAGAGGGTGGAGTAATAGAAGTGTGAGTCTGATCCTGAGAGCTTAGCAGTAATAACCTAGCTTGAATAGCAGGAAAACGATATTAAAAGGTATGAAAGATGAGATGCCCATCGCTACAAGGGGCTTCACAGCATGCCTTTCAGTAGAGCATGGTTATACATGTTTGGTAAACCCTTTTCTTCAAGCAGTGCTGCACAGAAACAGAATATCTGCAGGGGCTGGGAGGAAAGTGTCTTTGCTTAACATAACTGGCTGAGTTGCATAACGCAGCATGTGGACATTGCTTAAGTTCAGAGCACAGGGGGTAGTACTGTTCCCTGGTAGTGCACTGACATTTCACTTTTATAGTGGCCACCACGCACTACAGGAGAGTGGGCTGGTCCTGCAGTTATTCTTCATGTAATACCATACTGTTATCTGTGGTTTCATCATCTTTTCATTCATTCTAGATGATCCTGAACTTTGGGACATTTCCTTGGAGACCACTGATCTGAACAAGATAATGGGTCACAAAATGGCAGGCCCATTAGCGGGACAGCAGACACCAAAAACACCCTGTGGACGTCATCAAATGATTACTCGTAACAGGACCCCTCAGGGAATGAATTACCACAAACCTTCTGCGAGACCTGCACAGCTGCAGCCGTCTGCTGCTTGCATGAGCAACAGCCACAGTGCCGACCAGCACACACCAGGTACGTGCTGTAATAAAATGTCTGTGTTCTTTCTGTCTTACAAACAGCTCCTGACTTTGAAAGCATTGCTAGATTGCTTTGAACGCACTCATTGGATTATTAATCTGGAGAGGGAGAAACACCCCTCTTTTTTTGGACCTGGCTGCAGACTGCTGTGATAGTGGGCTAGGACAAATATTTTTTCCATCCAACTGTCCTCTGAAGGGAGAGCTAAAGAATGAATCGATGAACACTTACAGAAGCAGAGAAAAGCTTTAAGAAACATCAATTTCTCACTGTCTCCCTGTTTCACAGAGCCCAGCCCTCACAGAAGAAGTCAAAGCTTGAAGAAAAGGAGGCTAGAACCTACATAGGACACCTGATTGTATCGTTACCTACATACCAGGTTACATCAGAAGACTGCAGCTGGCTGTTCAAAGTATGTGAGGAAGACTATTAATACATTGTCTTGTGTGTTACAATGAAGCAACACAAAAGAGGCTAATACAACCAGCAAGAACTTCACCTGCTTTTGGGTTGTTACATGTATCAGATTTTTTCTCTGAACAAGTAATCATTTGTGCCTCTGCAGTATCGACTTGTGGCTCTAGTACAAGCTGGAGTTACAAGTAATTTGCCTGAAACTGTACCACAAGTAATCCTTAAAATGAGTTGCCATTCATCATTTCTTTCTTCCTCAGTGTTGCGTTTCATCATAGGGAAATGTTTTGTCAATAAAATGAGGGGGTGGGTTACAGTCACACGAAAGCATACATGCTGTGCTCTGCTGGTCTGTGTGGCTGTTTGCAGCTGTGGCAGTGCCTGCCTCCTGTGGAGCCCAGCTGTTTGCCCTGGGACTGCACAGGTGGGTCAGAAGCATTGCCCTGACACAGCTCTGCCTCAGATTCTTCCTCAGCCAGACCCGATTCCTGTCCAGCAGCAGCAGCTCAGCACCTTTGTTCACCTGTGCCAGGGCAGCAGCGTGCTGGAATTGCTGCTGAGGAGTGCACAAAGCATCTCAGGTTGCTCCTTTGGACTCTGTAAAATGAATTGGGAGCTGCAGTTTTTTTAAATAAGCTTATAGTCATATTTTTAACACAAAAATAAACATGAAATTTGGAGAAAAAACAACTCTTTGCTCTTCGTGCCTCATTCAAACAATGACAACTCCTGTCCTGTTTAACATACTCAAAGAAGCTAATGTGCTCTGACCAGATGTGAGCAGAAAGGTAGAGACATCACTGCGCACAGCATTTGCTTCAACAGGGGGCGAAGGTTCCAGTGGGTTTTAAACAGAGCAAAGCAGCAGCTATTCCTTCAAATAAGGTCAAAGAAAAAAATTTTAGGCAGTGTTTCAGAACTACTCCCATGCCCAGCGTGAGAAGCCCCGCTCTGGAGGGAGCAGTTCTGCTGGGCAGGAACCTGGCAGCACCACGGCAGTGTTCAAGTTGGCACCTGTGCTGGCTGCACGCTCCCTGGCAGGTGGCAGTTTGAACTCCCCACATGCTGAAGCTGGTTCTGCATTACCCGAGGCCCGGAGGATGGATGATGATGATGCAGCATGGCTGGAAGCTCGAGCTGCACCAGGAAAATTTACAAACGTTGATTAATCCAACCCCAAAATTGATGTCAGACTTGAAACAGGCCCTCGTTCCGGGGCTTTGCCATTCCTGGGTTATCTGGACACGCCTCTTAAAGCAACGTGTTACGTTTGAGGCAATAAGTATTTATTCCTGTTCCTCCTACTTCACCTTTGCCACTTTTCCTTTTTCCTTAAGCATACTACTGTCCACGTAATTCCCAAACAGGACAAAGAACAAGCATTGATTTAACTATGGAAATAGAAGACAAGTTACAGTTAAATGTAACGTATTATACTTAGAAAATAGTTTCAGATTTCACCAATACTGGTTTCTCTCCAACTCAGGGCTGAGGCTCAGGAAAGAAATACATACCACATGTTTGAGTCATGCACCCACTGTTGAAATAAGATACCTGTAAGGAAGGGAATGCACAGACATACAGCGTTACTGTATTCAACAAAGCCTCCCTCTCCAAGCTTTTACAAGAGAAAAACCTAGAAGTCTAAAACAATTTCATCAGCTTTCTTGACTCCAGAACAGTGCAACTGTAGATACGCCTCTGCTAAGAGGAATCATTGCAATATACCTCATGGATTGGTCTTTAAAAAAAAAAAAGAAAAGAAAAAGAAAAAGCAGTGAAGATTATACTTGGAGCTTTTTCTTTAAGGACTTGAGCAGCATGACTCGTAACAGAAGCCTTTCTTAAAATGGAAAGAAATGCAGCAGTAATTAGTGTTTAGAAATGTCAAATAATTCCTGCAAGTTACAGCTGCTTGAGAATGACTCTGTAAAGTGGTTCTACTCTTATACCGTACCAGTAGAGTCTCAAATTTGGAGATGGAATTCAGATTAGATCTGGACTACAGTTAGCCCCCCGCACCACAGGTGCTGCTCCCTTCCACCCAAGAGGAGGAGGGTGATGAGCCCAGAAGAAGAGGGAATGGGACTGTTCCCTGCCAGGGCAGAGGCTTCCCCAGCCCTTTTAGCACCCCTGCTCAAGCTTCCTTGCCAAAAGGGAAGCGCAGAACCGCAGCTGGGCACACTTCACCTGCGCTGCAGGCTGGGAGAGCAGCCAAGTCCCCGAGTGGCCCAGCTATGCATCGATAACTGCGTGACAATCTCAGCCACGAGCGCTCCCCTACTGCTCCGGGCATTATCCTGCACACCTTCTCCCTCCCTCTTCCTTCACCTCTGGGACTCCTCCTCTCTTAAAGACTCATTCTGTGAATGGCTCTTTGCAGTACCTTGTTCCAGAGAATTTTATCAGAAGGTCCAAGGCTCACTGATTGCTGCTTTTGAGATGTTAAGGGTCTCCCTGGAATGGGTTTCTTGCACTTCACTGCAACGACCTGGCTAACAGTTCCATCACTCCCGGAGCAGGAAGGAAAGGTTGGAACCTGCTGTTCTGCAAGAAAACCCGCCGCTCAGCAAAAGCAGGTTGGGATTATTTCAATGACTTTGATACTCTACAAAGGTAACAAACGGCAGCACAAAGCGCAGTCATACAAAAGCGCAGTGCCTGGGTTTAGTGCAAAATATACAACTAACTACTACGGCCAGGGAAGCCCAAAGTTTCAATTCTTTTTATTTTTTTTATTTTTTTTTATTTTTTTTACAGTGTACATTGTTAAATAATGTAAAGAAAACGCTTGTAATTCAGAAACAGATTTTATGTGGAAAAAGATACTCAAAGTGTAATATTAAACAAAATAATTTAACAGTTCAGTAGCATTAGTTTATTCCTCTAGACTTCAGTTATTCATCCACAGGAGGGGAAGGGGGAATCAATGGTAAATAAAACCAGTTCTTGCATAACATGAAGTGAAAACGACCTCAAACGTATTAGATCAAAATTAAATAACCACGTGCTGCGTTCAGCTGATTACTTCCCCTGTCATGAATATTCCCCTTGTTTCATTACTGCCGCGGGTTTGCAAAACTGCTCCTTTTCCTCCAGCACACCTCTCCCCTCACACTGGGTGTATTCAGGAAACCTCTGCATCCCATCAGACCAAAGAGCAGACGTTTGCTCTTCAACTTCAGCAGCAGGAACCCCTGTTTTCTGCCCCCCTTTCCACCACACTCACGCCGTGAGCCTTGAGCCTCCTCTCCTGTAGCTCCAGTCTGCACTTTAGTTACAAAGAATAAACCCCCGAACCTAAGGAACTCGGAGCCCAGCCTCCTTGCCACTGGCTTTCACCCTCAGGCATTCCTCTCCACCTTGTACATGCCCTTGCTGCCAAAACTGCTGTAAAAAAAAAAAAAAGTGACAGGAAAGGAATGGATCTTGCGTGTTTCTTTGTAAAAATAAAAGCGAGAACATCCACAGACAGAAAAAAACTCCCTATTAAGGCTCCACGGGGGAACAGCACTCAGGGAAAAAAAAAATAATCAGGCAAGTAACATCTCCTTGATGCACCACCTTCCAGGATACCACTGAGCTACTCCCAAGTACCGGGAAGCAGAACTCTGATCCTTCACAGCTTTTTGCAGCACTACGTAAATACTGGCTGGTATTATTTTTACTTTGAAGAGGAAACCAGTATTTTTAAATATGAAAAGGGAAAATGAACAAAGCAGAAGGTACAGTACAGTTACTAAGAGGTGACGGTTAGCTACAGTCCTGGTACCAGCTTGGAATTTGTTAGAGTGAACAAAATGATAAATCCTCCAAAATGAGACTGAGGAAACTTCTTGATGCCGGCTGTTTCAAGTGCATCCATTGCCGGCAATGGACGTTGCACCAGGACAGTTTATTCCTGGCTTAAATGGATTTAAAAAAAAAAAAAAAAAAGGAAGAAAAGCAATCCCAGCAGACAAGCCCATGCCAACGAGCAATGGCACCTCTCCCTCAAACCACATCCTGACCAAACATCTTCACCACTTCGCAGGTGGAGTCAAACTGCATCTGAAATCGGACCTTTCCCAAAGACACACGTTCTCCTCAGCCTCTCCATTTCTGATCCAGACCTCCTGCCTCTGTAGACAATATTGGTTAGTCTCAATTTGGCGTCACCCACAACCCTCCATCCCACCCCCACCTGGCCCTCATCACACCAGCAACTTCAGATCACCCCTCGGACAAGTTTCCCCCACACGCGGCACCTTGTTCCAATCCCCTGCCTCAATGACTTCGCCCTCCACACACCTACTCTAAACAGCAACGGTATCGCTAAGAAAACTGCAATGTCCCGGTCTCTAGGTACCAGTAATCCATCCATCCTTCTCTGAACTTGCCCTCCGTCCGCCTCGGGGTCTGCTGGGAAGACGATGCTAACTGCAGAAGCAAGAGAAGTCCAAGGCACTAAAATATCCAGCAAGCATACTGGGAGAACAGACAAGTATTCAAGTACATTAATTTATACAATTTTACATTCACATTTATTTATCTAATACAATGAAAATACAAAGGAAAAAGTTAAAGTGTCTCCAATAAGTATAAGGATATAGCTAGCTTTTTTTCCCATTTTTTTCTTTTTAACTTTTTTAACCCTCTATATTCCACTCATTTTTAAACTACTGTTGTCCAACAACATTTATATATCACAGTGTTTCCACATCAAAACTGATGGTAAGTACATGTCCGCAGGGAACTTTTAAAATTTTTAAACAATTTAAATTGCTCTAATGCTGCAGTCAAAGCTGTTAATATCTTACTTAAAGCAGTAATGACCTATCAAGCACGGGCTGCACTGCAAGTCCATTCATGTGCCCCACCATTCTGGAGCCAAATACAATTGACTGGGGAGAGGGAGAGGAGGGGGATTTGGACAGCTTTTCTCCTGGTCTTGGTTCTTCAGGGAGAGAGGAGAAGTGTGCTAAAGCCTCATGCTAGGATTCAACTCTCCCAATCTCAACACGCGTGGATTCAGCCTCAAACCAGAGAGAAATTTTACAGCAAGACTGCGTTAACTGACCCAGAACTGATCTTCACAGCTCTCGCTCCACACAAGAGCGGGACCCCTCGAGTCAAAAGAACTGTCCCATCGTAAGGATGCTGATCATCCTCCTCCCCCTTGCAAGCGTGTGGGGAAACCCCCTTTACATAGTTAACAGCAATGGTTGGAAAAGAGAAAATCATTCCCAGTCTGGCAAGCCACCAGTTCATTGCAGCACTAGGAGCTGATACAGGGCCCCGTCTCCCTCCCCATGTCCTGTCCCGAGGTCTGGCCAGCACGGTGTCCGAGCGCGGCTAAGTGGTCCGCAGGTTGGAGCCTGGAGGGTTGCTGATCGATTTCTGCAAACTGCTGATGTTGAAGCTTTGCAAAGATGCGGCACCTACGGGCTGGAACTGGCCAAGTGGCTGCTGTGCTGGACCACCCGTCCCGCTCCACGGAGCGGTGAAGGACGCGGCCGGATAACCATACTGCTGCGGAGGGCACATGGCCTTCGTGAAGGGACCTAAAGAGGTAGCTGATGCTGCAGAGATGGGCGTAGCACCCAGGGAAGATGTCATAGAGATACAGAGCTGACCTGGAGCCGAGAATTTTCTTGCCATTCCAGGGCCCTGAAAGAAAATCCAACCCTTGAGTTACACAACTGCTTAAAATCCACAGGCTATCCCCTCAGCTCACGGGCCCTTCCAAATGGATGTTTGCAAGGACACACAATGGCCTTACTCTTCAGTTATCCCCCTTCCCTTTCACAGCATGTAATAAAATGCTGCACAGAAAAGATATACCCAACATTTTTGAGGCACAGTTGTCCATGCTACGTGGCAACCATACTCTGTTTGACACACTAATGAGACAGCAGTGACAGTTGACAGTTTCTTCTTATAAACGTTAAATCTTGGGTTAAATCTTACCTCATAGTTGCTATGCCCTTTGCCAACTTTCTTGCCAGACAGGTTCATGGCATCTCGGGCCCAGTTATCTACCAGCTTGTGCAGGTCATCTGTGAAAGTCCCTTTTCGGCTAGAAGCAATAGCAGTGGGCTGAGACTGGGGTGCTTGGCTGTTCACTGTCGCCCCGACTGTGTTAGTGCTACTGGTCCCTAGAAGTACAAGAAACAGGAGTCAAAACTCAGGTTAAAGATCACCTTCCTCTAGTAAATGTAATAATTGTGGCAGTGGTACAACAATAGAGAGCCAGTTAAAATGCCATGCAGATCAAGTCTACATTTCAATTCCAAGGCACGCTGAAGTAGGAACTACAAGGACTCCTACAGGCACATCTGTTTCATGGGTATGGTTGCTTTTCAAGAAGAGCTGCAAGTAGTCATCTTAAGAGGGGAATGGTAGCAGCCTCTAGGTCTTTGCAGAAGAAAAAGAAGATTAGATTTTGGCACCAAATGACAGAAATCACATCATTCTCTCATCCTATGCCCTTTAATCAGCAGCAACCACTATCAGCACAAGTCAACGCCACCTTGGAGGACACAATGCTGGATGCTGAACAAGGAGCAGTACAATCAGCATAGCCAGCTGCTCTGTAGAAAATTATCTCCACTACGTAAGATGAAGAGGAAAAATTCACCCAGATTACACAAAAAAGCCACAGTGAGAAACAGCAACTGTTGTTCCCAATAGCTGCCATACTTCTGTTCTTGAGAATAACCAGATGGGACTGTCTGCATTCACCAAAGAGCCAGGATCGGCATGGGAAGCCTGCACTGCATTAAATATTGCTTTTTGCCTCTGAAGGCATTTCTTTCCCATTATGTCCACATTTCCTATGTCAGAAGAACAAGCATTTCAGATGCAAATGACTAATACAGCTTAAAGAAGGCAGAAATGAGAATTGTTCCTTGGCCCTGCTGTGAAAAGTTTTTCTGTTCACTGGGCTGACCGCAAGAAGACAAAGAGAAACCTTCACAGAAATACCAGGGCTTGGTTCTGCTACAAAGCTTGCTGAACAGCAGCCTGTAGAAAACATCACAAAGCGTTGTTTTGGATAGCCTCCCTGCCCTACCCCTCTCTTGTAAAAAAGCAACTTCACTCAAGTTTGAGCTTTCCAAAGACAGCTACCAAAATGGTAATCAAAGCTGCATACCATCAAGGAAGCTTTCTTAATTCCTAGTGGTACTGCACAGTGTCTTCACTTACAGATGTGGAAATGATGGTTAACCACTAGGCCTATAGTTGTGGTTTTTGTTTTTGTTTTTGTGTTTTTTTCTGAAGGACACAGTAAAGGCAGAAGTAATCTAGATTTCTCAAACCTATTTAGTACAAAACCAATTAAAGCATCAAAAATAAGCATGCTGCCATTGCGGTGCACACCCCCTCACCTGCTTGGTCTTGGTTCTCAAAGCTCCTCAAACCTTTCTACTGACTTGCTCGGAAGACTGCAACTGGCAAGTCTAAAAAAACTTGAGTGTATGGCAGGATTTCTGAAGAAAACTGATTAAAATCGGAGCACGAAAACCCCAGCAATGCAAATCACCTCTGTGTTGTAAGGGCCAAACGAGAGTCCCTGTCTCCCGCCTGACAGCTAACCCACCTCCACCTGGCCACCAGCCCCATTGCTCGCAACCACGGTACCAAAGCGAGAACTGGCTCCAAACCCCTGCAGGAATGCTTCACATTGAGGAGTGGATCAGGAAGGTGAGGTACTTACTACGCAGGACAATTAAGCAAAGTGTTACTGCCTCTAGTGGTGCTGAAGAGGGAAGGATCCGCATCCCTCCCACCAGTTCCAACTCGAGCATGGGCACTCCCGGGCACAGGCAGGCAGACACATGCACCAGTACCCGCGGGAAGGAAAGTGTTAGGTTCCCTGACCAGGGCGTGCAGCTGCAGCTCAGATGAACGAGTAACAGAAATTCACTGTAAGGCAGTAAAGAAAAATCTACAACAAAATAACAAGACCCTGAAGCATGCAGTGCACGGAGAGTGCTCAGAATACAATTATTTCATCAGAACTATGACACAAAAGGTGAAATTATAGACAAAACAAGCAAAACCGACAGAGGTACTCAAGAGGAGGCATCAAAACCAGTAACAACCACATTCCACCACGAGGGTTCATGCAGAGCTTGACACACTCACTCTCACACTCTTCGTGATGGCCAATATCTGGGTTTGGTATCTCACATTTCTGAATTGATCAGTAAGCATCCAGCTTACAGCCTAGGCCCTAAGCTGAGTTGCTTCTTCAGGCCACAGGAAGAATAGAATTATTCAAGGAATATAACACAGTGCATTCATCTGAAAATGTGAGAAATTTTTTAGGGAACCTCAGGGGCTTTGGAATGGATTGGTTTAGGGTTTGGTTCAGGGTTTAAGGCAGGTGGGAAAGGTGAGAGGCAACGAGAGCCTTGTCTACAGAATGATTTTGTTTTGGAGCTGCAGCCCCAGGTCGCAATGTGAAGCAGACCAGCCTGTACCATTAGAGGCAAGCTATAAAATTACTGCAGCTCCCACAGTATCAATTTTAAAACTTCCCTCTTGGGAATTTCACATTCTAGCTCTGATGTATTCACCACCTACTGAAGCTGCCATCCAGAAGAGTCTGAAAAGGAAGTGTTTCAAGTTGTAGCGTTCAATGGGAAGAGCCCCCCGCATTCCTGCTCGGTCACAGCAGCCGTCCCCAGTTCTGCTCTGAGGTTGAGTGATCAGAAGTGAAAAGGCTTCTCCCTCTCCGGCCTGCTACCTACAATGCCTTTATTCCGCTCTTTTTATTTTTTTTAATCTCCCCATAAGCCAACAGTGAAAAAGGCACCTTCAAAATCTGAAATGGCACAACCACATCCAGGCTTTTCTCAACATCTCTTACTTTCAGACACAGACTGGAAATCTGGGTCTGATGGCTCACTCTCACTCTTAAAATGTTGAAGGAGTCTCTGCAATCGGAGCTGTCACCGAGGTGGCAGAACCCAGCAGAGAGGCAAGCAGGCCAGCTGCTCAAAGGTACCGTTTTAGCACATCACAGTGAGCTGCTGCCCCTGATGCTCGATTCGCTGTCATTAACAGTGAGCAAAGAGCTCCGCAGTGAAGGTGAGGCTCTGCCCGCCTCCACCTTCCTGCAGCAGTAACAGCCACGCTGTGTAAATATGCTAACAACAGAGTAGACATTAGAGGGCACAACAGAGACAGACAGATGCTGTGCTGGAGACAGAGTCAGGGAGGTAAGGCTTCGGTGACCAGAAAAAGCCAATGAACAGCTTCACAATCAGGAATTGGAGATAACAGAAATAAGATAATTACTACAGAGCTGGTTGCAAGGACAGACTTTTTTCACCATCTTCCCTGAAGCACAAAGAGAGAGTCATTTGTTAAAGATAAGAGAAACAGTGAGAAGTGTTTAGTATCAGCAAACAGTACAAAAAGCTTGGGGAGAAACAGAGGACGCAGCACAGCGTGGCTCTTGATGTTACCACTGGGACATTCTAGGAACAAATCCAAAGGCTGGTCTGACAGTTTTATCAGTTGTACTTTCGGAGAAAGAAATGGTTCAGCCTCCTGCCTTTATCCTTCAGAATTCCCAAAATAGTGAAGAATGGCAGGAAGCAGCATTGTTATCACAAAAGGAAAAACAAGTTCATCTTCTATTTTTTTCAGGACATAGAAAGCATTTCACAGCTCTGAGGTTCAACCGTGTCACAAAACGAGCAGAATTTGATAGGCCAAGTGCTTTCATAGTTTGTCACCCTTTTTCCCCAAGTCTTCCCAGCTCCGTGGAGCAGTTCAGACTTTCCCTGCCAAGCTGTACCGCTCTGTTTCTCCAGCTGCACAATGAAAAGCATCAATTACCGCACTGTTTCCTCAACGCTGCTGATTTTAACCCAGCATCTTTTCCAGTTGTGACTCTCCACGACAGTCTGCAATAGCATTTCAAGGACAAGACTCCGGGAAGCAAGCAACTTGTAAGAAGCCGGGAGCCAGGCCAAGCTGTGCCATACCTTTACAAGTATTACCTGCTTTTACAGGACAGCTACAAAACACTTTTCAAAAGGAACCCGTTTCCCTTAGCACCAGTCCCACAGGCAAGGGATATACATGCCAAAGTACTCTTCTAGCCAGATGATGTGCAATTTGCAGCAAGCCAAGGCCTCGTAGGCATATGACACTAATATAGTCAGTTCACTATCAAGTCCAGAAGCAGAATGGTCATTCTTTATACTCTTTATACTTTATACTCCCTATCCCAAAAAGGACAGGCCAAACCAGAGAATTTTAAAAAGCTGGCTTTGGTAAGCATTCCACTCCTTCTAAGAAAGGAGCCATAAGTCTTTGGATTGCAGATGTTAGTTACTGCACACCTGCACAGTAACGTACCTAAAATCCAGTGCAGTGGGCTAGAGGTGTAATTGCAAAACTCAGCAGCCAGGAAAAAATCTCCCCTCCCTCTGACTCACTCCTGTCTCAAAGGACTGAGTTGGTTGCATTGCAGCTGTCTCTGCAGAAGGCCAGGTCGAATTCCTGCACACGGTTCTCTGGCTGCCAACTGCATCGAGACAGATGCTACAGGTGCGTGGTACCGTCGTGCAGTGCAGCAACTGAAGGTCTCTGTTCAGCACTTAAAGCTTTCTCACACCAAGTCATTCCAGAGGGTGGGAAATAAATGTCAGAGCATTCGAAAGGTCGGGTCTGCAGAAGCAGCAAGGGAGATGTCACAGCACTCCCCATCAAAAGCATCACATCAGCAGCCTCAGCTCAAGCATGGCCTTACTTCAGAAAATCACATCAGAAGTTTGAGGCTCTCGTTTTAATCTGGCCTAACGTAAGCACAAGCAAAAGGATTTTGAAAAAGCTGCAAGATAACTTGTGAGTGTTGACAGGATGTCTGACGTTGGCTATTTCCCCACCTTTACTGCTATTTGTGTCATATTTAGTCTGTCTCCAATTCACAGTAAGAACTTCTAAATCTGGGGCTCATCCAAGTGTGCCTGGAAATATCCTATGAATATTTTTAAAACCCTCAGCACTTCAATCTTTAACTATCCATCTGCTAATGAACACAAGAAGTCACTGCTAACTGCCTACAGGTGGCATCAATGCTCTGCACTGCAATCAGCACTAGTGCTGACAGCATGCAGGAACACCCAGCTTGCACAGCAAGCACACCACTGGAGGAAGACAACACAGCCCTCCTGCGATCAGTTACAATAGTGCCCAACAAAGGAATAATTTGGAAAACAAACCTTCCTCTGTGTCCCACTAGAAAGAGTGCTTCCCCTCCAAGTCTTATGTCAGCTAATATATGCTGAAACATAATTACTAAGCAGGCCAGAACAAAAGGCCCAGGCACCAATGTCTTGCAAGCTAACCCTGATTTCTGGTATCTCACTGAACTGCCCAGAAAAGTTTCCACCAAAAGCTTGGAGAAATCAGTGTTTGTTGTTCTGGGTTTAACAAGAGAACACCTGAGGGGAGAACCCAAACTTCTAATGGCGTGCTAAGAGCAGCTCAGCTGTGCCATGGAATGGGAGGGAATACAAGGTGGCAGATGAGGATGGGCTGCATGAAACAGATCCAGGCAGCAGAAGAAAACAAAAAGACGAAACAAAAAAAAAAACAGACAAGGAAGGAGTAAAGGTGTTACACACAAAGAGCCAAGCAGGGCGTACTCAGAAATCGGGTCCTCCTGCCACCAGGCTTGAAGGTCACTCTCTCAGATGCACAGTTAAACTTCGCACAGCCTGTGAGAAAACAAAAACGGGAAGAACAGAGGAAGGAGAGGAGAAGAGACAGAACACCACTACAAGATGTTAGCAACTTGAGGTTGGAAGGGTGAAATGCATTAACATGGCACACAAGAATAAGCCTCAAAAGAGTGGACCAAAGAGTACACAGACAACATACGGAGTGGAGAGACTTGCCTTCAACAGCTGCAGACATTAGGCCAAGTTTGCTGGGTTAATCTCCAGTACATAACCCAACAATAGGGTTTCAATCAATAGGAAAGCCAAATGCCAGCAAACTTATCTAACTGTAAAAGATACTGTACAACTCTGGATGGAGGGAGATGAAAGTAGCTCCAAAACACTTGAAACAGTTCATTAAAAAAAATCTCTAGAGAAAATTCTTCCAAAAAGTTCATTTCTGTTTTCCATTTGTACTTCTCCAATTTCAAGAAAAAGTCATTTGATTTGATGCATTCAATCAGTCTATGGTAAAGCTTTTCAGTAAGATAATAAAAAATGGGAGCAGAAAAAATGGGAGCAACTAAGTTCACAGAAGTAAAAGAATCCCCTTAATGAGTGGCAAGGAAAAAAAAACCTTCCCAAATAAATCAGGGCTGAGTGAGAAATGCTTTGATAACATACTAACTAATTACAAGCCATTCTCAACTTGAGTAAAATTAACAATTTATTATTCCTACACTCTTATCCAGCATATCTCTAACCCTTAATGCACAATATGGGCCTCTTTCTTTTTATTTCTTTTATCGTTAACAGAAACAGCCAAAGCAGTTAAATCTAAAAGGACTAAGTCTTCTTAAGTTTCCTACCATTTCAATCATCTCTTAACACCAAAGCTGTTCTGCCCCTTCCTCAGTCTCACTTCACATTTGCACACACCTCCCCCCCAGCGCCTTCTCATCTGTCTCCTCCTCATCCTTCCAGCCAACACCTTTTCCCCCAGGTCAGAAGAATATTGCTTGCTGCCATCACACTGCATTCTTTGTGTCCTTCTTAGTGTTTTCATTAGGGCAGATGGGGCCATATGCTATATATTCACTACCTCAACACTCTCAACATGCCTTACTTATGTGAGAAGCTAGAAAATTAGTTGCAAAAAAAAAGTCGTTATCAGTGTCCATGCATATGGGTTAAATTCCCTGTCTGTTTCACAATATGTATTAAATACCAAGTGTCATCAAGCTGACCATTCTCTCACCAGCAGCAAAGGTGCAAGACTCAACGCTAAGTCCGTTTGAAGTCTTACCTTGGCCTGGTGCAGAAAGGCTTGGTACCGAAAGGGCACCGTCACTGGTAAAGGCAGAGTAGAGATTTTCGCTAGAAGGTGAAGGTTTGAGGGGCTGTAACAGATGGTTCTGTCCAGTCTCTGGCACGCTACCAGGAGGATGAAGAGTTTGCTGTGGGGGTAAGACTGATGGTGCACTCTGAGCGGATAGATTGCCTATAGGAAGAACAAAGGCAAAACACACTTGAATATTTCAGTTTCGTCAAGTCATTTTCTAAGCTTTTGTCATTGTTTCCAAGTGAGAGGAAAAAAGAAACAACAGAGGAAAGTATGAGTGAGCTATTTTGTTAGTAATGCAGAAAGAAAAGCAGGGACAGGTTGTGGGGGGGAGGATATCACCATCTGGACAAGCATGACACTCCCAGAGAGAGAGAGGTACAGGGACTACAGCAGTTTGACATGGGGCCGGCCCTCCAATGCTGTTTACTCAATGCTATAGGATTTGAGGGACGTATACAATTACGCAGCAAGGATCTGACAACTGTCACAGAACTATTTTCCAATTTATTATAAATACTGTTTTAATGAGAAAGGAAGCCTTGACAATTGAAACTTTCAATTTGGTAAGTATAAAGAATTGTGACTGGAGATGAGTGACAAGACTGGTCCCACTCTCCAAAATCATTTTCAGGAGAAAATAACAACAGTTCGTGAAAAAAAAAATCGCTGGTACAGTAAATTTACACTTATTAACACTTTTCATTCTGGATACGGGGGATTCCCAGTCCTCTTAACCAAAGACATATCACTAATATAAAAAATAAAATCTCAATTTGATAACTGCTCTTACAAAACTACACGATATACTTTCTGTATGTTTCAGCAGATTGCAAAAGCTACAAGCAAGACTATCAACTAGCAAAAGCAATATAAGACTTCATAGTCCAGACAGCAGAGGAACTTGGTGGGAGAAGGAGAGACAGGAGAGAAGGGGGTGGACAAATCACATCCATCTGAAAGTGACAGACAGCACCATGTCAGTACTATCTTACCTAGAAAAAATGTAGAAAGCCTTACCTGATAGCTGAGGGCTCTTATTTCCCTGGGAACTGCTACGGCTGGACTTGCTGCCTTTTCCTTTAGTGGGTCGTCTTCTCCTTCCTGAAAGGGGTGCAGCTGGGGGAATAATTACTGCAGGCGGGACCTTTCCTAATTTTGTGTACAGTGATTCAATCTCCTGCTTCTGGCGACTCTGCAGCTCCTGGATCTCTTTAAGGTGCCTGACAAGTAACAAAAGAGTATGACTTAAAAAAAAAAAAATGTATGCATGTGTGCATACAATCCTTCCCAGTTTGTTTGGTCAAACTTCCATTAACGTTCAAGAACAGAGGAAATAAATCCCTTCCACAAATTACCACTGAATGCATATGGCAGAAGGCCTGTCTTTTTCTATTGTGCTTTAACGCTGACTAGAATTCCAATACAAAGCTCCCAGTGCTGTATCATAAAACCAGAATAAACAGATGTACAAACAAGAACATACAGCTACCATAGAAGATCAAACCATACATCATAAATGTTGCAGGAACAGTTAGATTACTCATTTTATGGGCCTTGGAGGCCATACATTTGTATTGCACCATTCTTTTCAGATCAGAGCAGTTGCCAGCTGTCCTAAAAAGCCAGCTTTCAATATAAATTAGGAGGTCATATTCCTTGATTTCTGAGGTTTTTTTCTAAATTAACAGGGATTATTCAGGAAAAGGAGAACAAATACCAGAAATGCATATTAGAAATGCCGAGTTGTGTGTCATTTTCAAGTGACACCAATATTTCTACTAACTACTGAATTTCAGTCCTATGCAAAACCTTCCATACATCTGCACAGATCTATCCAGTGTGGCAATCAATCTATATATAAACACATGCAACAAGTATACAACAGGTTATAATATTAAGCATAGCAAGTGTGTATACCCATTGTTTGGAACATATTAGTTCCCGCTAAAGGATTTTACTTTCCATATAAACACCAGCAATGGGACCTGATGTTTAGCAAAGGTTTAGTGTTTTAAAGAAGTCTACTTTTTTTCTTTGTGAAAAAGTAGTTTCATGTCCTCTGTGTCCAGAGGACATGAAAAGATATTCATATTAAGCATCTGCTACACGTTTCATACATACACAAGACAAAACAAAGCCTTACTTCTCCCGTAATCGACGGAGTTCCAATTTCAAGTCTTCATCTTCAATATCCGACTCGTTGTCACTGCTCATGTAGGAAGAATTGAACGAGTTGCTAAGGCTCTGAACAGGGAGGCTGATCTTTGACCCCATGGGCTGGAGAGAGTCTGGGCTCCCTGAGCCGTCATCCACATCCTTAGCCATTCCACTCAAGAAGGCGGCCTCCAGCTCAGAGGATGGACCATTCAAATGTGGGGACTGCCTTAACTCCAACTCTTTCTTAGGAGCTGCGGCCGAAGAAGCAACTTGTTCCAAGTCCACGGAGAGAGGAAGAGTCATTGGCTCTTTCTCTGCACAGGTGACCTCGTCCTGAGTCTTTGACACTGAAAAGCGCCCCACCTGATCCGTTGTTGTTGTTACCTGAAAGCGTCCAACCTTCGTTGGCTGACCAACATCTACTGGCAACTGCAGCACAGGAACTGGCTGAGGAACACCACCTGCCACATCCACAGAAGAGTCAGTGACAGCCTCACTTTTCCGACTGCCAGCCTGCTTTACCAGTGTACTCTCTGGACTACTGCCAGAAAGAGGCGAAGAATCAGAGGAGGTGGTTTCAAATTGCACCGGCTTAGTTTCAGGTTTGTCACTCTCTTTTAGTACATCATCCACTGCCACAGATACCTAGAACAGAAATGTCATCACACAGATCTTCTTAGCTCTTCCTCAACATGATGCTCTTATTTACCTTAAATACTTATAATCACATGGGGGGAAAAATAACTAGTTTCCCCGGAATGCCACAAAGCAAGCTTCTTCCCTTCTAGTAACACATGACCACACAAAATAGCAGTTCTAGATAGGCTGGATGATTAACTGCCCAAAATCCCAACAGATTCAGAGGGGACTTGCATCACAGTCAGGACTTCCGTCACATAAAGGCCAAGGCCAACAGATACGCAATTAATCCTTGAAATGATGAAATGCTGGATTCACAAACTAGACTTTATATAATCTAGTGCAATCCCTGCCAAGAATAAGAACAGTATCTGCACAAAACCCTTCGATCACAAGCTCATTATGGGTATTTTCTCCCGATAGGAAAGCCTTCCAAGAAGCACACTGAGCTGGCACTAGGTAGTAACTGCTCAGTGAGGATTCCATATCAACAACTACATCAGTTTAACATCTCCCACCTGAAATCGTCCCATCTTAAGAACACCAGCTCCTGCTGCAGCAGCCATACCACTGCTCTCTCCACCACACGATGCTGAAGCTAAGAAAAAGGAGAATGGTATTGAGAAGAAAATTAGCAACAAGCTATTTACACTTCAACATTTCAAACTCAACTATCAGCTGAGTATTTATGTCATGCTTTTGGATTCATGGAACCTGATCTCTTGTCTCAGCTTTGCCATACAGAATTTTAAATTTGCATTTTGATATTAAGTATTTTTCTATGAAGTTTCCCTGTGCAGTACACTTGCCAAAAGTGCACTTTCTGATTGCAGTAAGAAAGCATACTGATTTCTAAAAAGGATGTGAAGTAGACAAAGAATCAAGAACAAATGAAATTTATATAAGAACACACTTATTTTTAGTTCAGTACCCACAGTGACTACCTAAATTTCAAATGCTGGAGATAATTTCTTAATAGAAAAATGGTACATTTAAGAAATGCTACGAACGACATTTACTCAAAGCAGTCTGAAGTCTGCAGAGCTGGATCCTTATATGTTGGCTCCTAATTTTATTGTTGTTTGCACTGGCAGCATAAGTTTACAAAGAAGCTGAGAAATAGCATTCTATATTTAAACTAATTCTATTGGACAGCTTGCTGTGTTTATTCAGCAACTTCCCGGTTCGTTTACTTTCACCATCTAAACTTCACCAGGCAAAAAACATTCATTTTCTAGCAGTAGAATGACTTCTATGGTATCATTACCTACCGGCATACTATAATAGGACTATTTACTATTGTTTTTATTAGCTTTTGAAGGTTTGTCATTGAACGTGAGGCACGTGCAATTTTAATATTATTTACTAAATTAACCAGAAATAATGTTAGTATCACATTAGTGGTTTCTTTTTTTAAAAAATGAAGGTTTTTTGGTTTTGTTTTTTAATTGAGATGAGTAGGAGAATACTGATTGGAAAGCCTCAGGCTACTTTTGCAGTTTGGGTTGTTTGATTCTACCCCCTAACTCCATCCCCAACAATAAAAGTCATTTAGATTTGAAAGTCATTGATCATCCAGTATGCAGTTGCTGATCATCTAGTCATTCTTCAGCTGTTCTAAAGCAGCCAGAAGAATCTTTTTTGTTACCGTGTTTCTTTAATTTCTAGTTAACACCAATTTCTCTAACTAACTAGAAATAAAACGGTGATTAGGAGGAGATATCTTACATGCAGAACAGCATGACAACATGAAACTTCTTACTGTTACTGCAAAGAATATAACGAAACAGAAAGCAGTTCCTTCAAATCCTGAAGCTGTACCTCAGAAGCATACTGGACATTCTTTGCAAGTCTTAATTTATTATTTTGGTCAGCTTCGAATACTAAATAATTTATTATAATATGCATGCATCATTCCCCTCTCTTCATCTACAATGGAAAAGTTCAGTTTAGCTACAAAAACTAATACAATTCTTAAGGAATTGTCATCGTATGACGACTATATCCTTTCAAATTGCTAGTCTGTTCAATTCTGTTATTATATCTCTGTGCTAAGAAACCACCTGAAATAACAAAGGCTGTCTTACCTTCTTTCAGAGACTGTGCTGCTGTGGACACCAGCCCGGTAACCGTTGTAGATGCCACTGAGGGCACAGACTACAAGTTCAAGGGAGGAAATAAAAATAAACTTATGAGAATCACAGTCTGATTGAACCCTTAACAAATCCACCATATTGCATATTACTGAATCTTTTAGTTCCATCAGGGCTACAGAATAACCCATGATAGGACTAATGCAAGATCTTTTAATCTGCAAGACAAGCAACACCAGCAAATTTTGCATGCCTTACAACCCAAGGCTGTCAGCAGTACCTCCCTTTTTACTCTGCAGAAGTAATGCGTAAGTAGCCACCTGGAGATCATAACGTTAACCACTATCATTGTTTTGCATCAAACTTCTACTATAGCCGTGAGCATTCAGATCCACACGTTTAACAGCCCTCCCAAATTTAGACTGACATAGCACATACTGCTTCTTTAACACCCTCTTTCCCCTTATCCCATAGTCACTTCCCCTTCTATTTCAGTGATATTAATGACTTTGCCAAAAAGCTGTTAAGAACTAACACCAAAACCAGCCTCAAGAAATACGGTATCTATCGTAATCTATGGATTTTCCCTATTTTGTTTGACTCAGTCTTGCAAGCTGAAAGATGACTCTTCCTTTTTATTTTTAAAAGTCTATGGACTAGTATAATGATATTAAAGGCAGTGATCTAAGTGCATGAACTTGAGAAAACACTGACGTTACTCAGGACTATTAACTGCTACCATTGCAAACGTACACAGGCAGGAGCAGATGTCACTGGAACCGTCTCTGGACTAAGGGTTCTTCTCAGCTTAGCATCCAGATCTTCCAGTGGCTGCTGGGACTGATGAGAGAGGAAAAAAGTAAGTAGGTGTCCCAGCTCAAGAGAAAAACATGTCACATTTCAGAAAACAGCCGTATTTAATATGAAAGTAGTCAGTACAGCTTCTATATTTCTACCACGTTCTGTTCCTGTATGCTCACATTTCACATTTATAGCACAGTAAGACTGGGAACAATTTAAGCAATATATTTGGTAAAAATAGAAAAAGAAATGTTAACAGGAACTTCTGTTTTTCCTGAAGACAGATGTTTGCATTCTTCCCTTAAGAATTTTGTAAAGATGCTGTAATCAAAATACTTAACAGATAGGCAGGCTAATTTAATTCAGTGATACTGTAAAAATGACATTTTGTCTGAAATACTGTATAGTTCTCTGCACTCATGCTTACAGGAAGAGATTTGATTCAAGTAAACAAATGAGGAGCTGAGATATCAGAACAATCAGGAGATAAAGATTTCTTTATGAAATAATAGTAGCAAAATGAAGCTTGAAAGAATATTCTAAATACACCTTAAAAAGGCTCTTTTTATTCCTTATTAAGGAATTATTCCTTAAGGAATAAAAAGAACGGGTATTTAAGACTGAGGAACAAACTGTCCTAGACTAGTCTTGGGATGACACACATTTGAACTGCAAATTAGGAATCTGATACTAAGGAAAAAAAAATAGTGTAATGAGCTATTGACAGAATCAGTAAGGAAGGCAAGCCTGGCTATTCCAAGACAAGTCCGTAATTTTCCAGACAGTTATTGTGTGACAGCAGCAAATGCTCTTCACAGTCAACTAGATTTGATCCAGTAAGTCTTCTCCAATTCTGTCTCACACTCCTAGACAGGCTTTAGAGTTCAAATGAGAGGTGAAATTAGGTCACCTGTTTGCAAAGGACAAGCAAGAGATCTCTACTTGTACCTTTTTACCACAGACCCTACCAGAAAGACCTATGACAAACCTCAGGAAGCCTTTTGGAGTAGTCCTGTGGTTTGAGTCACTGAAGTGGCTACAACTGCTTTGAGTTTGGGCAAATGATTACTAAGATACCCAGTTCCAAACAATGACCAAAAAACTACTGTGAACTTAATGGGACTTATTTTTAACCAACTGCTTTCAGATCCATTTGCTAGCATTGCTTGTGGTAAGAACACCTAAGGATTGTCACCAAATTGGCATCTCCTCTTCGGCAAAATCATACTTCAAAAAGAACTGGCTGACAGGCTCATAAAAAGCTTCTGCCTCGAGGTAGAGGGAAAAAAAAGTTGCTTGCTAACACTACCACCTCATAGCTCAACATAAGATGACCAGCTTCTCGCTCAGTTGGAGACATAAGATACCCATGCCTAATTACTCACATTCTGCTTGCTAGTGAGAATTACATAAAACAAAATACAGTAGCAGTCTCCTTTCTGTTACAGGTTTTGAGAGCAATGCCTTCACTTTCATAGTCTTCTTACATACAGAGAACAAGTATTTGCCTTCTTACACTGCATAATACTCTCCCAAGCAGTGGGCTGACCCTCATTGCTTTCAAAACACTGAAACATACTTTTTGGAGGGAAAAAAAAAAAAGAAAACCAAAAAGTAACTCTGGACATGAAAGCCATCTGCAAGGACTCATTGATTAAAGCTGGACGTAGTACTGTCATTGATTTGCATGTGCTCCATCAGGAGGACTGAGAAGGTGACCGAGCAGGAAAAGATAGGGCGAGATGCCAATTTTCAGCATTTTGCAATTTAGGCCTTCTAGGCCGTTCCCATTCTAAACTCTAGGACATACTCTGTGCAAACTTGTCTGAGAGATCCCTGGGATCACAAAATAATTACATTTACTGGGAGAACTGAACAAGCTATTGAATAAAGACAGCTGCTGCACAGACAGCACTGAAGGAAAAAAAATGGAAAACGGAGGGACAATTAATGTCATAGCCAACAAAAAACACACGAAAGCAGCTAACGCCCTGCTGTTCAACTCTATTCATGCCCTTGGAACCAGGGAATACCATATTTCTCACATTTGAAAGATAGAAATGAAAATCCAATTAAAAAAGTATCTTTGAAGATCAGAATCCTAATACATATAAATCTGTTTTTACAGTTTTAGTTATAGAATGAGTCATGATAGCTCATTAACCAAAGCTGCTTTAACAGCTTAAATTATTTACAATTTTCTAAAACTATTCCTTTGTATGATAGTCAATTTAAGTCCTTTCAGATAGAGAGGTTCTCACAGACTATTGTAAATCCCAAAAAGGAACAGCTTGCAAAGAACTAAAATGACCTTTACAGTTCATTTTAAATTCACTTCCATAGGTGAAATTTGAATTTGAGAGCTCTATTTCAAGAGATGAGAGGGAGACTGTTACCACAGTGTCAAGGAGCAGGACTTTATCAAGGTTAGCTCACAGTCTGCAATAAAATTCAGTGGTCAAGGAGATAAATCAGACCATGATGCTCAGAAATACTGTACAAGCCTTCATGCTGTAGTTATTTTATTGGAAATAAAAAATAAAATTTAAAAATATTTTTAAAAGTTATTGAAAAATAATTATACTCATGACTTAAAAATAATCCCATTCTATGAAAGGCCAGATTCCAGTTTAAGTGTAGCTTTAGGACACGTATTCAAGGACTATTCCCTGTGGACCAAAGCCACAGATGGAAGAGGTAAATAGTATTAAAAGTATACATACATAGGTAGTGCTAAATTTACAACAAAATTACTTTGAACCTTAAGCAGGCACCACTAGGTACACACTGGAATGAAATATCGATCAAATAAAAATTGAATTTAAATTTAGGATCGTAATTTTCAAGTTGAATAGAGTTCTATAAAAAGCTGTGTGTTTATTCAGTCTTCTCTCTTTCAGAAGTAGCATATTGCCATCTCTTGATCTCATGGGTTTTGTCTGGTTATTTTTTCAGCCTTTCTTTGCATATTGAAGTGTATTCTTCCCATGTGACACTTCCTTGCATGGCATTTAGAAGATCCATAAAACAATTTTGCCTTTTTTTTTTTTTTTATCTATTTTTTTCTTTTTTAAAGAAAAGTGAAGACATTTTATCTTTGTGATCTTGAGTTGACCATCTGTCCAATTCACATATAAAACACCCAAGCTAACTGTTGCACACAAGGACAGAAACTGAATAATGTTAAGCCGCTGTTACATTTCAGCTCTTGTTTTGGTCTGGAGCTTCACAGACCTTTTACAACTCTGAAAACCTACTGAAATAAGTGTCTAGTAATAACTGCAAAAAACAAACAAACAAACAAACAAAAAAAAAATAGGATGTCTCAAAGCCAGGAATTTTGTGGTTTTTTTTTCATTAACATTTAATTACAGTATATAGCTATTTAGGGAAGCATCTTTTCATCGTAAGAAGAAAACAAGTTCAAGTTTATGCACGCACTCACCTGTGTTACATTTAAAAAAATAAATTTAAGGTTCAGGTTAAAACACTAAATAACTCCAAGCCTGATTCAATTGCTTCTGTACTTCAGACACTGCGTACAGCATCCCAAAGGGTGAGCTGTACCTCTAGTGCTGAAGCAACTCTGGTCACTGCTCCATTTACACAAAAGGGGTTACTCAGTCAAAAGAACAGAAAACCAGACATTAATAACATGCAATGGAGAGTTTAATCGAAACATGCTCTTTGAAAGAAAAAGAGGCAGATAAAAATCTGCTGAGTCGTGTAGCACCTGAGTTAGTGAAGGTCCCGGAAAAGGTGGCAGCGGCTCACTGGACGGAGTGCCAGCTGGAAGTTCAGAGCCTACTGGTAGCACCTAAGATGAAGAGGAAACGCGAGTCCATCAGACACGGCACAACAGGAGGATCAGACACCACGCTACAGTCAGTCGTGCTATATGACAGAGGCCTCTACATTTTTTCTGTGGAGACTTCCTTCCTGGAAAGTTAGCATCGAGTCCTTGGGGAGCTTTGTGACAGCTGAAGCGTGTGTGTCAGGGCTGGGAGGGTTGTCTGGTTTTGTTTTAATTCAGGCTGCCTTTGACTGGCCACAATTACCAGTTGAAGCAAGCTGCTCTGCCCAGGAGCAGAGCATCTTGGCAATTGTGTTTTCAAGTCTGCGAGAAATGCTACAACAACATTTCTTCATAAATAAAGCCTCTTGGAAACGTTTTTGGAAGGGTGCAGGAATGCACTCAACCTCCTCACAAAAGATCTCTTTTAATGGCCCACTAACAACACCAAGCCATGTGCTGCTGGCAAGCTGTTCCAAGCAATGACTTGATCAGAACTGTCACATTTGAGGATGTCTCCACTTGTTGAAAGCCCATTCAAAAGTTTCTTACACCAGTCTCCTGATCCATTACTGGCCTTGATCCTGAGGATATTGATCACCCACAGAAGATGACTAGGCCATGCAGCTGAATAAAGGGAAGTCATCCAGGTTACATGGAAGGGGTTAGAGAGACCGGAAAGGTTAGAATGAGGGATCAAAGCCTCCCAGCAAGGTCGGAGAGCACATTCCAGTTAGTTATGTCCATTGTTAGGGAAGTGGGAAGTCCTAGGAACTAAGCAACCCATTACACAATTTGCAATTCTTATTCTCAGCTGTAACCGTGAAGGTTTGTCTGTGACTCTGAAGTTTCAGAAACACAGGATAGCCTTATGAGTTACCGTGCTGGTCAGCCAGCTCCCCTTCTGTGACAGGAACACTGCTGGGTACATGTCACCAGCCCAAAGTCTGCTCTGGTCCTTGCAAACAGAACCAGTTCTCGCCTGCAGTCACGTTACCACAGCTTAACTAATAGTTCAGACTGCAGAAATAGCCGACCAGTGAGGATACCTGCCATAATTATCCACCCTTCCCCAAATGTTGGGGTAGGAACTTAGCCAAGTTGTATTACCTCAGCTTGTGTGTGTGCTACGAACATACACATGGGCATTACTGTTTCTGATGCATGTTGACTTGTTCAGCTGTGGTAAATTAATCACTTTGTTTATAAATAAGAGGCAAAACATACTTTAAATACATTTGTAAGACAACTCAAAACATATTTACTGTGCAGGTTAACAGGCTGACCATAAACAAAATCAAATGCCCCCCTTGCCCCCAGTTTAGCAAACCCCAGATAACTAAAGCATTAAGCTCCTTAAAAACAACACCAAGTGAAACTAAAGTTAAGTTTTGAAAAAACAAACAAACAAAAAAAAAAAACAACAAACACAAAGTAATTTAGAAGTGAAAGACTCAGAAAGGAGCTAGTTTTCCTAGAACAGACATCAAAAACCCCAAATATTTATTACATTTAAATCCAAGCATTTTTAATTACAGGTTTGCAATTAGCAGGTTTCTAAATGTTCCCAACTGTTCCTGAACCAGAAACTAGGTTTTACAGTTTTTTAATCTTTTTTTAATTCTCAGCTGCATTTCAGTATAAATGCCTCTGTATCTAGATTTCTTCCCTAACTTCCTTGGCATTATTCATGCACCTCCACAGCACAAATTTCCTAACTTTGCATATGAAAACAATCTAAAAGGGAAAGAAGTGCCCCACTGGGCAATAACACAATTTTGCTTAAAATGTAACTTCTGAGTCCAAGTTGGTGAATCATTTACAATTCAAGGCAAGTGTTATACGGACATGACCTCCACTAGGTAAGAGAAAAGATGCCATTTCTAGTATCTGCTGGGGTTCAGGAAAAAAACAGATGAGTCTCCACAGTCTTAGCTCCATTCATTCAGTATCCCCCTTTTACATCTCCATCTCTTACTTCTCCATTAAGTTTACTCCAGTGGGGTCTTGTTAAAGGTAGATTTAGAGGTCAACGTGTAACCCTTGGGATACCTGTAGACTTATACTCTCAGTAGCATCAGTATGGTTTACTTAACCTTCAAGGAAGAAAATCCAAGGTAGGTAAATAGAATATGAATGCAGCTGAAAGTAGCATAGCAGAATCAATCAAATAGAAAGGGATTCCTAGAAAACTGTAACAAATAAAATAAGGAGAAATCTTGGAGAGGCTGGTGAAATTCTCAAAGGTTATTGCTATAGCAGCTATAAAATTCCCTCAGATCTCAAATTTTACATGTTAGTCTACTAACACACTATTATGATTAGCTGTAACTTCCTTATCCGATATAAAATTGATGAAATTATTTCACCAATTCCTTTCAGTGATCACATCTGGTTTCGTCTTAGAAAAATATCCATCTCTACACAGGAATGGTACCATATTCGTACCCCATCTGTCCCTTCACCTTTGTAAAAACAGCTGGGAAAGTAATAACATCAGCCTGGTTGGCAAAGCACAGGAGTTCTGCTCTCTACCTCACCCTAGAAACTTAATTTATTTATCATAGGGCAAGGCAAGAAGCCTTAAGTTTGTTTTCTGTTGCCTTGCTCCCCTGAACAGAGCATTCAAGATTCCCCAAGGGGGAAGTATTAATGATTCTACCGCTAGCAGAAAAATACAGCAGCATCAGTGCTTTACAGCATGGGAAAGAAGCCTCCAAGGACTTGGATGTGCTTCTCAGAGAAGCACAGAAACATAAAAAGGGAAAAAAAAATACGTTTTGGTTACGAAATCAGTGTTCAAAATTAGAGATAAATAAACTTAGATTTTCAAGTCCCAAGGAAGTACTGGCTCAAATAGTAAGGGAAGAAGCATTTTCTACATCTGCTACATACACAATCACAGAGGAAGTGGGAGGAAGCTGTATTAGTAAGAATACAAGGGAAAGACTGCTCATAAATGGAGATGGTAGGAGCATTAACTCAATTAGAATGCCTCGAACATTAACCAGCTTCAGGTCATTTGGGTAACTCTTAATAATGTGCTTTAACTTTTGGTTAGCCCTGAAGCGGTTGGGCAGTTGGACTCAATGATCTCCGTAGGTCTCTTCTAACTGAACTATTCTATTCTAATAACAAGGTTGGCTAAAGACAATGAAGTGTTGGTGAGTGGGAAAGAATGTTACAGAAACAGAAGTGCACATTAAGGTTTTTCTTTTGTTAAAAACCTGAATGCTTCTTCAACCGTTTGCATGTAAGTTTTGAAAAGGAAAGAGCTAACGATGGTTTAAAATACTGAAATGCACTGGCAACAATTCATAATCGCCAGCCTAATTTCACATACCTACACTTCTGGTTAGTGAGCCAAGTAACAACTTTATGACATGTCAAGTTGTTACTATACAACGTAGCTCAACACTTTATGAAACAGTGTTTGCAGAGCACAATTCAGAAAAAAAAATGCTGTTTATGTTTTCAGATACACTCATCTCTTCTAAATTTTTCAGAACCCTGTTTTCACAAATCTAGCATTTGGAAGAAAGAGACTATCAGACTATCCATGCACTACGGAAGGAACAGAGGACTTAAAAACAAACAAACAAACAAAAAAAAACTGTCAGGTTCATCCTTGCTTTCAAGGATCAGGCTAATGATAAGAAGCAAAGCTAAGCAATCACAACTACTTTATGAAACATAAAACCTCCCTGACTTGTTTTACCTATTATGGATAAAATAAAAACCTATTCAAAGCAAGATTCTCAAACTTCTATTTGGAAAAAGATAAACAAAAAAACCACACACTTCATGGTGCTTCACTCTTCATGGTAGGAGTAAGAAAAATGAACAGTGACATTTAATAGCTCAGACACGATATAGAATTGGACATTTGTTTCAGCATGGACAGAAGAAAACACCTCTTGGGACAAATAAAACATGATGAAATTTTCCTTCTGATCTTATAACCAAAGACATACTTGTCTAAATAAACACTTTGCTGTAAAAAAAGGGATTCTGTTCAAAAAGGCTGTTTTCTACAATACTTGAATATTCACACAAACGTTGCATTTCTTACCGGTACCCTGCTAAGAGGGGGCTTCGAAGGAGAGGTGCCTGGTTTCACTGCTGCTGTTGCAATGCTGCTTGGTGCCGAAATATAGCTGACTGGGGTGATCACTTGCCCAGGGGTGGCAACTGGTGTCAGCACTGGCAAGCCAGTTGGTCCAAGAGGCAAACTGCTTGGAGGTATACAAGTGCTAACGGACGTCAGGGGTTTAGTTGGTGCCACAGCGGTGGTTGGTATCCCAGGAATAACAGTAGTTTCCATTATCAGCGATGTCTCCAGAGATACTGATGGATGTGCTGTTCCCACGTTACTGTGTTCACTGAAGAGAGACCGTAGCTTTTCTTCCAGGGTCTTTATATCGTCAATACCAGGTGCTTTAGACTGAGCATCAGCATCAGCCTCCATACAGTGAACGTGAGGTTGGTTGGGTAACGGAGCCGGCTGAGGCTGGCTGTGTATCAATGTTTGCTGTACTGCAGGCAAGTTAGTGACTGGCTGTGGTAAGACACCAGGTAAGGGAACCTGGGGCAACATAGGTGTTGCACCTGGAATTTGGGGCAGGACAGGTGTTGATGTAATTGCTGATGGGATGAGTAAGGGATGTATAACAGGCTGAGTGACGGAACCACAAACGCTTGTTGCTACAGAGGATGATAAAGGTGCAGAGACTGGGAGAGGTAAGCCAGCTGCACTGCAAAGCTGTGATTTATCTACAGGCTGCCCACTCTCAGGTAGTGACTGTGGAGCACTGACAACTGTTGTTTCTGCCAGACTGGAGACAGAGCCACTAGTACTAAGCTGAGGAAGCTGCAAAGCCACGTTCTGAGCCAGAGACAGGGCAACAGATGTCTGTGGTGCTGCTACACTACTCACAATTTGAGGAGCAGACTGAGATGTCACAGCTGGTGCAACGACACCGAGACCAGTGACACCAGCAACCTGGGTAGCCGGCAGTGCCAAAGAAGCCGGTGTGCTGATGCTGGGGGCAATGTCTGCAGTTACTGGCTGAGCAGGCTGGGACGTGACAGTTAAGGAGAAAGAAGCGGGGGCGCTCGCACTGGAAGCCACACCACTGGACTGCTGTCCAGACTGTGAGGCTGGAGGAGGGGAAACAGAGCTTGGCACACTTGCACTTGGCGCAACTCCAGCAGCTGCACTTTCTGAAGGCAAAGTAACAGAACCTGGAAGAGAAACACCTGTGCTAGAGGGAACAGATATTGAAGGAGCAGCTGCAGATGTGGGAGGTGCACCACTGCCTGCCATGGTAGAAAGCGCGGGTGGAAACGGTGGTATTGTTTGGTTGAACACTGGAGGAGCTGTACTAGGTCCTTCTGTCATCTGAGCATGCCCCATCTCAGAGAAAGCTTGCTGCAAGCTCAGTGATGATGCAGAGTGGGAGAGATTCATTCCAGGACCATGTAGCGGAGATGCAGCAACTGAAGGAATAGAAAAATATCAACACTGTAATGAATTTTGCTAAGTGAACTATCTCCTACTGCTAGACCAAGACCAAGCTTATCTCTCTGCGTAACTTAGAAAATATATATATAAATCCAGGAACAAATTAAAACCACTGAATTAAGGTTTCAGAGTCTTGCAGACAGCCCATCAACAATTTTTCCTGCAACAATCTTGCATATCATCATCCAGATTATAACCACTCCTTACCAGCCCAGTCATTTCCCTACTTCCAAGTACTTTAAGTGCTTAGGAGCTTGTCTGTTTAGTCAAATAAATTCAGTTTTGAAGAACAAGTCTTAGCCTTCACAGTTTAAGAGATTAGGTAACTTACCCATATCCGGAGTTTCTTTTGCTCCAGGAATAGCAGAGGTGAAAAATCCCTGTTCTTTTAACCGACTCTCAGGGACAGGGCTGACAATAAACCGTCTTCCTGCAGAATGGACAACCTGGGTAAAGGAGCTAGGAGGAACCCCTAAACAGAAAGAAGTTGGATATTCAGTGATACAGAGTTGCAACAAAATACATCACCTGCAATATGGAATGTGAACTCCATCATACAAAATAAAAACCTGGCTGCACCCATCCGCTGAAACAGAAAAAGGTAACTGTCGAAAAAAATCACAAAAGACTTACCTATTCTTTGTGGCATGGAAGATGTAGGATCTGGCTGTTTGAACTCTAATTTCTGTAAAGTAAGATAAAATTTAAAGTTCTATTCTGAAACAGAAACCCACAAGATAGTTCTTAAAATGCTAGCTTACTGAAATGTGGGCATTTAAGGTATACAGTGCCATGGACCCAAGCACCATTACCAGACCAGTAGAATTTTACCTAGACAAATGTCATCTACAGTGCTTTTATAACTTCTTGGTTTAGTGACTGTTAATGTAACAAATTGATCTAAGCATCTTTTTTTGTAACAGGCATTCCAGCCTGTTTCCTTAAACAATCCATAGGTAAATAAATGGATGTTTCAAAGTAGTTCTAGGTGGAAATAAGGCAGAGATTCAGGAAATGTCACCCCTTATGACTCCCAACAACCAGCTTCAATACTTGTGCTTTCCAATTGACCCATCCAATCTCTTAGTAGCTCACTGACCACAGAGGGCTTGAGTCCAAGCTCTCAGTGTTCATGGAGCCACAGAAGGGATTTTAGTGTCCTACCTTACAACAACCTCAAACCCAAGAATCCTCAGCATTTAATACTGTCTGCCTAGCAGACATTTGGTGAATTTCCTATTTGGAAATTCAGCACCTTCAGAAGCATTAGAACATGTCAAAAAACAATGGTTTAAGTTATTTATCTTTCTAAATGAATTTTAAGCTTCCATCCTGATCTGAAGCTCTGGTTATCTTTTCATTTCAATTTTAAGCTTTGATATTTCCCATGAAAGGATGTTTCAGTTCTAACTAGCTCTGCTCACAAAACCATACCACCCAAAACTGAAAAGGTGAATAGCTAAAGCAATCCATCTTTTACATACCTGCGACCCTGGAAAGAAGCCATCATCTTTTGTCCGCATACTCTCCAAACCCTGATCACCTTCTGGCTCCACACTTACATCCTCACTCAGCATTTCATCTGCTTTCTCAATGATCTCTCGCACCTGTTCTACAAATGAGTCTCTCTCAGTTGCTAAAATAAACTCATTCTGCACCTGTAAAGACAGCAAAAGAGCAATATTTTTTATTTATCACAATTTATTTCAGAACTATGTATTGAACATTGAGTGACCATAATTTAACTTTCAGTGTTACTGTTTGTCCTCCCTTCACCATTCTTATGCACAAATTAAAGTTGATGACATCCTGAAGGGAAACAATTGTTTCTCATCATCTCCAGCACCGAAATACTTGCCCTTGTTTTCTCTTTACTGTGGAACAACATTCGATCTCATTTTCTACCTGTAACCTCAATCTTTCCTTAACACAGTGAAATTGAAAATTAGCAACCCCATTTTACTGGCACATTTAAAGAAAGATATATTTAAAAAAAATAAAATTCTATATTGCAAGATGGATTCTGTGCTACTCTATTTCCATTGTGTACTGAACTAGCTCTTGAAAGTGTGACTGCAGTACATAAACACAATTATTACGTTCCCTATTTGGTGAGAGGAAGCACATTCAGCCTATCTAGTTTCAACACACTATACTGCTTTATAAAAATACACACTGCTGCTTATGTTGGGGTAAATGAGATTAAATAAGTACACTTTGCCTTTAGACAAGAATTCTTAGTTTGTTAGTCTGAACCAAGAAAAAAAATCTGTCTCCTGAAATACTACACAGTAACATCCTCCCAGAGTCAGTTACTCTACAAAACCTAAGTAAAGCTGTCAGTCAGAGTACCTCTGTGGAGAAAGAGAGAGAAAGTGCCTTAGAGGTAAAGCATGAGACACTGTTCTCAACAGGTTTTTGGGATGCTGGTTCAGAAACCCAAGAAACGAGCATGATATACTTATATCAGCCTTTGCAATGCAGAATACTTACTAATTAAAAAAACCTTCAGTGCTTTACTTAAAGTAGTGCCAGATACCTAGGAGGTACGTGGAATAGACCTGACTGAAATGAATATTGAAAAGTCTTATAACCAAAAGTTTCCTCAATATTCAACAAGAAAGTGGTGAGCACAAAATTCTAGATTAGGTCATGTACTTTCGATGACATGACTGTGCTTTGGAAACACACTTCACTTACTTTGTTTGCACTTGTCAACTGTCTGCTCTTTAATCAAACATACTATTTTATTCCTCCATAGGATCAATTGAGACATGATACAATGTAAGATCTGTATCGCCTACATGTTTCTTGACACTTAATATCATGTAACTGACTTGTTTACACTGTCAATACAGGTACATAGCCAAGAACCAACTTCCTCTTTCTTGGAAAGGCTTTCTCTCCTGAGTCTCTAATTTGGTTCCTTCTGAAAAGGTAGGAAGCCAGCACAGACCACCTATTATTATTATTCTGCCACCTTTCTGTGCCAAACAAGGAATACCACACAAGTGTCCAAGAAGCTGGGGAAAAGATACTGCTTTTTGTGTTACATCCTGCTCCAACCCACCACTTCTCCACTCCATTTCAGTAACACTAAAGTGATCCTCAGTCTCATTCAGATTGTGCCAGCACAGGAATATTAAAATTAAAATAATTGTAGTGTGGAATAGAGCCTCCCACAAGGTACTTGCATTTAAACATGTCCTATATATATGTGTGTGTGTGTGTGTGTGTGTGTGTTTAAATGGTAAGTTCTTTTCTATGTTTGACCAGTATCTGCTGAATGAGAGGCTTATTTGTTTATTTTCAGAGACATTGGCTAGCTTAGTCAAAAGCAGCAGTCATTACTAACTTTCAGAAATGGGAAAAAAAGTGATTTTCATTCCTTAAAGGGCAGAATCTTGATGTTTCAGTTAAGAACAACAAAAACTCAAACCTTAAGCAGAAGTTTTAAAGATTTAGCAATGTTTTGGCCTTAGAAAAGCAAACAATTTATTTAACTTTGTGGTGTTTTCAAAAATGTTGTCTGCAGGTTTTCCAAAAATAAGACCGTGAAGAAATGAAAGCAGATAGTCAGTAAAACCTGAAATTTTAGGATTAAAAAAAACTGACTCAAATGTTCACATGAACTAAGCATGCAATATTAACTGTCGATTTCATATTCCACTCATATTCCAGTCTCTAGCTGTACTTACAAACCAATAAAGTGAGCACAGGAAAAAGAGGAAGCAGGCTATGCTGCATGGAAAGAAGAAAATAAGACTGCTTATATTATTACTGTGATTAAGACTGGATTCAATCTTTTATTTCTGAAACGTATCTTACCATAATCGAAGCAATTTCCTCAGGGTTGTCACCATCCAAATCAAATTTGAAAGTAACCATTTTCCGATTATGTGTCTCTAGCTGGCATTCCACTACCCGATCACCTTTATTTGAAACCTACAGTGAATAAATTATGAAAAGCATGAGAATAGAAGACCTGAGTTTTAAAGCCCATGGAGGCAAACCAAAAGTAGTGCTTTAAGATGAACACATTCTCTTTTTCTAGACTAATAAACAGTGCAATTTACTGCACTATTTTTCTGAGGATCTGCCAATTACTCAAACATCCAAGGTTACCTTGTCCACACTTCTCTAGAACTCCTGATGCTCCCTTGTTCCTTTCTAGCTTACAGGTCACTGGCCTAGCTTTACTAATAAGATTAAAGCAAATATTCAGGAATAGTCTGTGGAATCGCTAGTGGCTAAGCAAGCTGGTTTTGCCATCTGTAATGCTCCCAAAAGCTTTTAGTTATGACTTTTGGAATACTGACTCCAGAAGCAGAAGAAACACAGTGAACAGCTTGTGTGCTTAGAGGTGTCTGGGGGGAACAGCAACATACCAAACAAGCACACAGAAGACACATATTCCTCAGAAGAAAAGCAACTTTTGAAGTTCAAAAACAGGCATCAACATTACCAAACTGTCACTTAAGTTAAAAACAAAAACCACAACACTCACATTTAGAATTCTCAGTTTTGGCCTAGCAGTCTTCTCATGGCGAGAGCGACTGCGGACAGACCTCCGCATGTGACGCTTGGTAGTCCTCCCTTCGTGCCTCCCACTAGAAGCTGGAACATTCTCATTGCCATCACTCAGTCCTGAAGCAACATCAGAATGTGCACTAAAAAAAGCAACTCTGTATTAGTACCCGTGCACTCCATAGCTGCAACAACAATACGGTTTACCCTGCCAGATGATACTCTCCTCAGGATAGCAGTGGCTGCCTGTTAATCACAGAGCAGGGGAGAAGAATCCTGTCAACCAATAAAGCTGCTTGAATAGTAATTATAAGAGTAATTAATTACGTATTTCTTGTAAGCTGAGCTGTACATCTTCCAAATATGTTTTCAAGCTGCATGAATTTTAAATTCTGTTTAAGTGCCAAAAGGACAGAAAAGCATCCCTTACAGTCAATACAAAAGATTAGAAGTCACTATGCATGAACCTATTTGCTCCCTTCATAGTCTGCTGTAAAGCAAACCTTTCTTCAACTCTCATAAACCTATTTTTCCTCTACGAAGTTTATTTCCTCCTGTCCTCAGAGAACACCCCAAATGAAAAAGAAACATTCCCTGGTGAAAAAGAGGTACCTAAAGATTTTTCTTCCTTGGATAATCTGTCACATAAAGTTGAAATTCAATACGGTGAAAAGAAATCCATGCTTACCTATCCATAGAGGAAGCCAAAGGAGTAGACTGAGCAGGCTGTGTTGATGGCAGCGACTCTGAAGGAGCAGTCTGTGAGACTCCTTGAGTGCCCTATGGATAGAAACCTGCATCAAGAACTCCAAAGAATCCCCATCCTTTTGAAGTCACCCCTTAGTTTTCAATTTTTCCTCCCAAATCAGTTATAAAGCTAAAAGCACTGCCTTTTTAGAACTTCAAACAGCTGGCATCTAGAAAGCTCTAATTTACAAAAAGATTGGAGAGCAAACTGCAGTGAAGCAAATTGTCATCCTGGGGAGGAGTGGGGGAAGGGCAGAAAATCAGCCATCCTTTCTGCTGCTACGTGTCACTACAGTTTGCCATGCAGCCATAGTCTTACTAACAGAATGTGCAAAAGGCAAGCCAATGCAGAACTCAAAGACGATTCAAATTTTCCCTAGCAACATCAATGCTGCAGGGAACGGGCATAACGAGAGGATCTCAAAGGCTATCAGTTGCAGTTTCTCATTGATATGGCAAAATATTCTACAGTACTAGCAAGAAGTGAAGTGTTAACAGGTTTTTGCCTGTAGGAGGCACACTCACTTCCCAACAGAACAGCCAGTGGCAACAAGGTCCCCACATTGGCATGACATTCTGCTGTAAGAAAAAGGTTATTTGAAACATTAATTTCCATCTGAAGACAAGCATGGAAGGGATTAGTTCCCCACACACGTACATTGTACCGTAATTTAAACACCCTAAATGTATTGTTACATTATATTCAACATAATTACCTCCACAACTGCCTGCTGTGAAGAGGCTGACGAGGCCTGTTGTGCTAAACTCACTGTAGGCTGGGGCACTTGAACCTGTCCTCCTAGGTTGCCCATAGGAACTAAAACATTTTGCTCCACATACGGCTGCACAACGGGGGCAAGATAGCCTGGCTGAGCCACTACATCTGTGGGTAAGGGAGGGGACAGTACAGCAGAAGGAACGCTAACAGAAGCCACAGCAGAGGAAGGTGCAACACTTGAGTCTCCTGGGTACTGAGGCGGCAGCCGAGATGGAAAGCCCTGCAACAGAAATGAAGGAGTCAAGTTAGCGAGTATCAAAGCTAATTAGGAAAACATAAACAAACAAAATAAAAAAGTGTCAGTTTCAGGGGCATTTTCTAACTTTCCTTTCCGTATTTATTCAAGTTCTTCCAAAGACCATCTTTCCAGAGAAGCAGAGCAGCTGCTCAAGTAGCCAAAGCTCAGCTTACAGGTCACCATGCTACAACGAGCAAATTCCCACCCAAAATTTCAAGTCTCAGTCGAAACAATCTTCATCTCCCAACTCTCTCCAGTTGCCTATGTGACTTAATATTTTAAAGACCTGAGACTTGAAATTAGTTTGAAGAATTTTCAGGCTGAACTGCTCAGACTACGTTATGCAACTGCTGCTGATTCTCGAGACTATCAGTACCTTAATGCAACTTTGTTCTAAAAGAAAATCACATGCCAAGTCATAATTTTTGTCACTATTCATATTGCCATTTTTACAATGATTGCACAAAGTAGATTGAAACAGTCCTTGCTGACCAGTCTAGCACTTCATGATTAGCATCAGGTACTTACTTTATATTCAAGATCCATGTCGCCTTATTTCTAGAAAATCAGTGTAAACCCCTCCCCACCTCCCTTCCCCTTCCCAGACTTGGTATGAAATACTGACATTGCTGAATATGCTGCCACAGATTCTCTTTCCAAAACAAGACTCCCATATTTAAATCACAATGTTTTGGGTCTCTTTTTTTATTCAACTTGGCAGATCTCTTGGATATCCTCCTTGACACAGTTGTTGTCCAAAGTCCTGCACTGTTTGTCATTTTAGACAAATTCCACTGCCAAATGTAAAAAATAAAAATAAAACTCAAAACACTAGGGTGCTGGAGGACACTTTTTCCTCTTTAAAAATGTCCTTGACCACAAAACAGAATTCATCTTTGTGGCTCAGTGGCTCTCTTCTGAGAAGTGAGTTGGCCAAGGCACACAGTTCTGAGCTGGCTCCTTAGAGCAGGTGAATGTGGAGGGCAGGGGTGGGGAAGAGCTCTGCTGGCTTGCAACAATACCTGGTAAAGAGCATCTCCAGCAGGAAGTGAAGCTTCAGCAGCTTGTCCAATGCTGACTGGCAATCCCACGGACTGGACAGCCGGCTGTAGGAGCTGCGGGAGAACCTGGCTGGGCAACTGAGCCACAGGCTGCATCAGTGTGGGAAGCTGGCTAGGGACAACAGTTGATCCTACAGGGATAGCAGTTGCCGCAGCAGATGTTGCCAGCGTGAGCAATGGCTGATTCATGCCACCTGGCATTGAAATGGGCAGCGACTGGAAACCCGGCTGAGCCACTGACACGTGAGGAGCTGCTATGGGCAACTGAGAGACCGAGAACTGGGGAACCATGGAAGTTGGCAAGGGCTGTCCCATGGGTAGAAAGTGAGAGCCAATAGGGACTGATGGGGCAACTGATGGTTGAGGGAGAGAAGGTGCTGCAACAGGTAATTGAGGCTCGCCTTGGATGATCGACACTGGTTGGGAAACAGGAAGCTGGGGAGGTAAAGAAAATAGAGATAGATTTTTTTGTTTTTTAAGCAGGGTTGCAGAAAGCAGAATTTTTATGCATTAGTCAAAGAAAGAATTATTCAAGTTACAGCACTCTGTTAAAGTGGGTGGGGAGCACAGTTGGCAGAGTGGCTGGGAAGTTGTCTGGAGTCCCAAAAGGTCCTCTCTTCGCAACACTTCCCCTGAAGAACTCCACAAGCTCTTGAAACAGACACCCACAGAGGGTGAAAGAGCAACATTAGAATACCCTGAAGCACTGACTTGTGCATAAACAGAATCCAATTCCCCTCAACTCTGTCCCCAGAGCCAAGCCTGTCCTCTTACAGGAAAGAAGCACAAATCTTTCAACAAATCTCTTAGCTTTGGGTATGGGGACTAAAGCAATGGAAAATGAAAAGCCACTGTGCCAGCATTCAGAGAATGGCAGGGAATATGTCAATTAAAGCCAGCAAATGATGCAACTTGAGAGACAGTTTAGATGAACAAGCAACAAAACAATAATCATAAAAACAAAATCAAGGCTCACATGTTCAAGATAGAGATATGAGCCAAAATGAAGTAATACTCAGTAACAGAAGCTTCTTGATCAGGGAGTAAAGGAGAAGAGCTGAGTAAGAGAGATGACAAGAGTGGAGAAGGCAGTCCTTATGGTTCACTACCTAAATATGTGAACATGTGTTTTACACACACAATGGTGCAGAAGATGTACATTCTATGGGAAGCAGAGAAATGACAAGTTCCTGAAAATGCATTCATAGTACTCCATTCATCAATATGCCTCATGATATTTTTGACAGTTTAAAGATCTTTGAGCATGGAAGCGCTATCCCTCCCTCAAATAAATTATTCATGACTGCCATGTGTGAAAGAAAGTTTCCAATACATATTTTCCAGCCAAACCGACAGTTGTAGTATACCAAGAACACTACTATCTGGATGAATGTTTTGGAACTATTCAGAGAAGACAATAAAAGTGAAAGTAGCAGCATATTTAATTTGCCAGCTGTGAAGACAGATCTTCTGCTGGAAAGAAAAATACTGCTTACCTGTGTCCCAGCTGCTGCCTGAGGCATTGGCATAACCTGTGAAGTTTGAGTTTGAGAGACAGTTTGTGGGGGAGTGGCACCAGTAGAAACTGATGGCTGCGGCGCTAGGTATTGTCCAGGTTGCTGAGAAGAGGCTGGCTGCTGTGCATTCTGTAGCAGGGAAGAGAGGCAGAAGCTATTCTTAACGCCCCAAAAAGGAAGATTTAACATTATATCTATTTAAATTTCAACTTTTATTCCCTGCTAAGCGGCCTTAATGGTTCTTCTGAACATACTGAGTGAATTAAACTTTAACATTCCTTAGTATTACTAATAAAATTCCATTATCAGCACCAAATCTTGCAACAGGATTTTTGTTTCAGTGAAAAAAAGAATGCAGATTCTATAAAGGGAAAGAGACAATTAAGAAGATACTATATCAAGTTGGAAGAACTCATCAGAATGAGGTCTATGTCTAGACAGTCCATTGCAAATCCTGATGTGCTCTTCCTTGCATGGCATCTCCACTGCAAGCTTAGTTAAGAGTTGGGGAAAACAGACATATGAGAAGAAGCATTAACATGATTCTAAAAATAAATTTCAAGAAGTCAACGAAATTAGTCTCGTAGCATGTTAAGACTGTATAATAGACAGAGGATTCCTCTTTTCTTGTCCAAAACTATGAGTTGAAGGGTAGACAGGGAAAGGCTGCTCCTTAAGGAGTCATCAAGTTCCCACACTGAAAATATTTTAGTTCCAGGTTTAGAAACTGATCATACCTGCTGAGTGTGTTGGGTAGGCTGAGAAGGTACCGATGCACTACTTGAAGTAGACTGGCCTTGCACTTGTGTCTGGAGGGGAAAAAAAGAGTCAGCTTAAAAAAACATATGGTTTCTGCAGCAGGCACTTAAAATCATTTCTGCCTGGAACGATCTGGTTGTAATAGGTTTCTAACGGTTCTTTTTGGACAAGTAGTTCATTTGGCCAAATTCCACTATGAAAACCAGAACAAAGTAGTGCCATCTGGAAAAGTACCAAACTCCATTTTAAGTCTTCCAAGACAAACAAAGTCTTTGCAACCCAGATGCCCCTCGATTTGAGACAGATCAGCCTACCATCTTCTTCCTCCACTGATGATGTGTTAAGATCAGGATGCCTTGGTAGGTATAGTAACTGGAAATAGAGGCATTAAAGTTTACCTTTTCGTGTGTTCTGAACACAGTTGGAGGGGAGGGGATAAAAGAAGGCTAGAAGAAAAAACTGTTTAAAAAAAAAATCAAAGATATACAGACTTCTAGACCAATAACAAAGTACTCAATACATGTATGTATCATTTGTTCTTTTTGAGAAGCATGTCAAAATCCAAGCCAAAAGTCATTTCCAGACTCACTACCAGCCAAGAATTAGATTTGGAAGAATCTGGAGGCCCACATTCTAGCTGAGACAGAATTTTGAATGAATAAGCAACAACAAAAAATGGCTGAGTGGCATACAAATGAATGTGAAAGATGCAGAGGAAAATGGAATGGATTTTCACTGCTGTTTTTGTGAGTGACCTTTTTGATCAGATTCTGGAGACAATTACAGACCTCCAGATAATTTCCCTAAGCACACACCACTTTGGTGAACTGCCTTTGTAAGAAACATCTGGTGCATAGGTATATAAGGAGTATCTACTAAAATGTCTTAATTCTCTGAATATTCAACTTGCAGAAGCTTATTGGGAAAAAAGTTTATTAAAATCACATTATTTTAATTATAAAAATTTGGGGGAAAGATGGCTGCCATTGAAAAAAGCCTTTTTTTTCTTTGCAGTTTTAGAAGCTTTTTGAGGCCCTTACTGGCTACAATATAAATATAATCTATAACCCATTGCGATAATATCTTTATATTGACTCAGCTTGTGTCTTAGATTCTGATCTTTTAGTGAATTAGATAAGAGCTCCTGGAACTTATATTCTGTAAAACAATCTGGATTCCTTATTATGTTTTCCAGGTGTATTTTTCATCTTCTGAAGTTCAGCAAGTTGTTTATGGAGAAACAATCCCAAAGTAATTTCAAACTGCTTGCACAGAAGCTTCACTCCACAAGTTCTCCTACAGCACAGAAGTTGCTATCTATTACACTAGTGATTAAGCTGTTTCAGCTTTAACAAAACACCTTTATATCCCATACAGAAAGACTTAAGTACTTAGCTCTAGATCTTACCACAAAAAACATAAACATTCTCCTCTTTCATCCAGAGGAATCACAAAATTGCTAATACCACAATAACTGAAGCGTCAGAGTCCTCAATTCCAAGAACAACAGAAGGAACAAGAGAGAAGCTTACTTAAAGTAAATCTTCTCTTTTCACCAAAAAAAAAGAATAATCTCATGAAAAGTTTCAAAATACAAGCACAGACACAATACACATACTCCTCACATCCATGGTGTACAAACACATTACTGAAGGACATTACACTCACTACTCACTACTGCAAGGACATTTACCATATATTGATAAAACGCACACCTCCAGCTAAGCTTCAGGTCTCAAATTTTGCTTTTTCAAAAGGACACCACATTCTAGGCTTATAAGGAAGCAAAACCTACAGTAGCAGTCATTTGTGCCACTAGTTTACTACTCTGCTTGTTTCCTTTCTTTAGTGATCTTGCAAATGCACTTCCAAATCCATATACATGTGATATATACTGCACTCCATTCCATTTTCTCCCCACTTCCTTCCCCCAAGCCTACGAAAATCTTTCACAGCTTTCAACAGTCAGCAAGTTAACTCTTTTCATGCTGTTGTCCACCGTAATATTGTCCATACAAATGCTCAACTCCAGATAACACATTGTCATCAAACAACTGAAGAGCAGAAACAAAATACAAAGCAAATTTTACTATCACTACTGACTCAAACTGCACGGAAGATGCATTTCATTAAACCCACTGGTTAACAGCCAGTTTGGTACTACAGCTATCTCATTCCAAAACAGTAACTGGAACAAAAAACACTGACCACTCATTACCCTTAACACAGAAGCCCTACCAATATTTCACCCGAAGCTGAACACGGACTGAGGGGTTGCTGATGCCTCATTATTTAATAGCAACCTGTTCAGTTAAAGAAATCCTAGTACACCACTGACTTCTTGTAAAGGCACCCCAATGAATGCTAAAATTTGAACCACATGGAGCAAGTGTAAGAGCAAGGCTCCCCTTTAAGTGCAAAGTATGATTTATAAAAAGCAAAGAAATTCTGGAAGGGTTTGCTCCTGTAACCTGAGGATAGAGTGCAGGTGGTCCTGATGAAAGCGAGGTGGACAAGGCCTGCTGAGTCGAGGCTCCCTGTTGGAAGCAGATGAAGAGCTGCGACTCTTGCAACACCTTCTGAGGCAGCTGAACAATGGGCAATGAGAAGTCTGAACCAAAAGCAGAAGATGAGCTCCCTGTAGGGGGAGGAGACTGGAAATCGCCAGTGTCTGAGGAAGTCATCTGTGAGGAATCACTGGAGTATTCTGGGCTTCCTTCTGGCCAGCTCCGCCTGGCAGAGCCCCCTCCGGGACCTGCTAACTCAGGACCAAGATAGTTATACTGCTCCTCTGTCACAGGCTGAAGCCGACCGTGCAACCCTACGCCTTGAGTGGATTCCTCTTGACTGGTCTCCATAGAGCCCCGGCGACTTCGGTAGACCCGTTGGGTTAAAATCGCCCCGTCTGCTGGAGCAGAACTCGGTGTGTGCACATGGAACTCAAAGACACAGCTCGTTCTGCCATCCCCGCTGTGCGAGAGCACAGCTGGGGCCGAGTGCGGAACAAATACCTGATGGAATGTCATCTGAGCAGGGTCTGCACTCAGAGGAGCTGAAACACTGGACAATGGAGAAAGGGGACTCATCCCAGAATCCAGCCTCAGGTTCTGAACATGTCTTGCCAGGAATGCTTGCCCCGACTGATAGTCAAACCCAGAGCTTTGTGGAGGACCACCTTGCACATGCTTTGACTCAGGGACCTGCTTCAAATGTTGTTCAGTCACGTGAGAGTTATAAGCTACTTGATCATACTGCTCCGATACCTGTGATGGATAGTGCATGCCCACCAAATATACAGCTTCTGGATGCATTCTGTAGTGAGCATCCTCTGGAGGCGTTGGTCCAGATCTATAGTCACTGTGTACGGGAGCTGGCTCAAACACAGGATTAACTTGCACATGCAGAGGCTCTCCAGCGACTCTATGAGCTGTTGTGCCCAGCATAACCAGTGCCTCTGGTGTCCAGTTGGTGGGACTACCACCAGGTGGAACTAAACTCTGGCCAGTCTTCAGCAATGGCTGGAAGTGGCAAGTTTGGGCTTCCAAAAATGAAGTGCTCTTGCGCCGCTGAGCGACTGCCACCTTCGGCGGGCAGACAGGTGGTGGTGAGAAAGACACCGGCCGTTCATGAACGGTTGGAAAAAATATCTGTGAATCTGGGAACGTTGGTGTTCCCCCACGCGGATGCTGAGGCTGTATCGACATGAACAAGACAAGTAATTCATACATTAAAAGTGAAGCACATTAACATGCACAGTTCACTAGGCAGTTCTGTGAAGTAACTTTATAGAATGGCTACTCAATTCATGGTCAAAAACATACAATACTTAGGAAACTTAGATGAGTTGTAAATATCCATTAAATACATCCATGGCAGGCATAGCTACAAATGGAAACATTTGCTTGTGTTAAAGCTGCTTTTCCAGTCCAAATCCAATCATCCACTAGAAACTAGCTTTGTTCATGACAATGGAATGAGATTTATTGTCGTGGGCTATCCGTTGTGGTCATTGCTTGAAATCCAATATAACTCCTGACATTGCTGCCATATGGGCATACAAAAATTTGGAGTTTGATAGCAGCAACAGTGCAGAGCCTCTAGTTTGCATTTAGAAGACAAAGATGACATGAAATCTTAGTATTATCTAATGTAAAAAACACGGTGCTAGTGTCCTGTCAGTAGTGTTCTCTGTATGATATCCAGAGAGCTAAAGACAGACCTTTTATGAGATAAGATTGAACCATTCCAGCCTACAGCTGAAAAAATCCACTATAAAATTGCAAGGTCTTTGGATTCTACCAAAGTCAAACATCCCTTTTGATCACTTTGATCCATTTGCATCAGACTTTTTCACGTAAGAAATCATAAGCCATTGAAATTGAAACAAACCAACTTTTTCCTGGACAATAAGACATTCACGGGTTTAATAAGAGCAAAGTCCTCAAGCAACTCCACTCCATATGATGTGCTATTACAGATTAGACTTATGTTAGTCAACACAGCATAGGGAAAATTTCATTGGAGAGAGTTCTATATGAGAACACTAAACAATTTAGCAATGCTGCCTTTTCTCATCTTTGCCTACAGTATACTGAGAGAAGGCATTACCAACCCTAAAGGAAAAAAAATGGTGGCAAAAAAAAAAGTCATCAGCAAATATATTATCTTTAATACAGGTGCTACTGAAAACTTTTGCAAATTGCCATTTCCTCATTGTTCTGTTTCTTTTCCCCTCCCATCTTACAGAAAAGCAGCAGCAAATTTCCATATTGACCAATACTAACAAGACAGTCCCTACTCCTGTACTCCTGAAGAATTCTTCCTATGCTTTGAAAATTAGTTCCATATACTTCAATTACAAACTGAAGTTTTCCAGAGCTTATTTTATGTAAATTAAAGCCCCAAACTGAAAACAGACTACCTCCTATCCTGCAAGATACATTGCATCTGACCTTTTGAAACACATGGGGGTTTGTATGGCTTTTCTCCATCAAGCACTAGCCAAAGTGTCAACTCCAATTAAAACTTAAAGAAAAGTCCTCAAAAGTATTAATACTCTGAATTTCTACTATCACTACACTACCTCAGCAAACCAAAGCTTCTAGAATAACCAGCCACAGCAACTAAGCTTTAAAAGCTGTCTGGTTTGTGCAAGGCTTAACTAACATTGAATGCCTGCTTAGAAGTTAGAAAATAAACAGTCTTCTGACATCAGGGGATAAGAACTAGTCTTCTCTTTACCTTCTGTGGTACAGCAGAATAATTTCCATTTATTTTTACTATCCTATCCTAAAATACAAAATAAAACGTTATCAGTGTTTGACCATTTAAGTGTACCACTTCTCAAGAAAACAAAACAAAACAATAATCCAGCAGCACAGTAATTAGGAATGAAAAATTAACTTTTCATTTTTTCATTTAAAAAATGCCCGAAGCCCAGGATGTATTTAATGATAACTTATCTTACTGTGCCAGGAGGCAAATGGCAACACATACAGGACTGACAGAGAGGGAGGGCAGGCTGGAGCGTCGATGCTTGCGTGGAGAGGCAGAGTGCATGGGCAGGACACTTTCCAGGGCTTTAGAAAGCTTTTCTGCAAAGGTTTCTTCAGGGACAGTCCGAAGGTAGAAAGGAGAAAGAGGTGCAGACAGCGCTGGTGGTGGGGTGCAAGGAGCACTGAGAGGGATGCAGGACATAGAGGGAAGAGCAGGAAGGTGGGGGACACAAACTGACATGCTACGACCACGTTGAAGCTAAAGGAGGGAAACAAAAGTTAAGAATTGAACACTTAAAAAAAAATAAAAACAAAACTAGCAAAAACTCTAATGAGATAGAAAAGAAATGCAGACACACAATGATAGGCCCAATACTGACTACTATGTGTGCAAGAAGATATGAGAATGCTGAATGAATGCCAACATACACCAGGAACAGGATATGCGCCCCTAGGAGAGCTCAAGTTTGCCTTAGGTTACTGAACAAGGAGAAAAGTTCCCTAGCACCCTCACAAGAGGCATATAGAAGGCAGAAAAGACAAGAGAATGTTTTCTCTGGAGCCATCAGTGTGGTCCATACTGTGCATTCACTCCATTTGGGAGTCTGACAAATCAAAAAGCCCTTAAAGTTACCGATGAGCTTTCGTTTGTTCTTAGTTTAGCGAGTGGATGTGTTTGTACTTATCACCTCACCAGTCTCCCTGCTTGGGCACCTCCCTGAATTAAGTGAACTGTTTACAGTTGGCTTCTTCATTAACTAAGATGTTACCATAAAAGCTTTAACATTACATATTCTACAGCAAAAGTTGTGGAAAAAGTTGTTTTAATATGTGGAAAATTTAGGAAAAATTAGTCTTAGACTAGCATTTTCCAGACAGTGGGCCAATAAAAGCAAGATTTTGTAATATTGCCACAGTCCAGAAGGCCATACGGTCAAAATCCAACCAAACTGGAAGAATCAGAATTAGACTTTTGACTATTTGTTTTTTGTTTTTTTTTTTAGGGTGAGTGGAAAGGTTATGTTTTAAAGAGACAGCCTTCAACTGCAAGATCTCCTCTAATTATATGTGCTCCTCCTATGGATGTAATTTCTTAAGGTAATTGAAATCAAATACACAACTCCAAGAAAAAAAAAGTCAAGATCTCTAGTGGAGATCTGATTTTAAGTATTTCTGATAAAAGAAATATTGCTAGACTGCTCAAGATTTTGGAACAGAGGCATAAGGAACCTCAAGGGATTAAATATTTTACCCTTGTTACCTGTTCCAAGTCAGTACTAGTTATACATGTAATTCCTGACTGATTTATCTAGCCTGTTCAGAAACCTCTCCAGTGATGGTGTCTACAGTATGTCTGTAGACAGCTGGTTAGAAAAAAAACCTTTTCCAAACAATAATTCCTTGCTCCTATTTAAGCTTTTGTTGTTGTTGTTGTTGTATCTGACAACAGTGCTGTGACCTGATTAGCCTCTTCTTGTGTTATGGAAGCCTTTACGGCATTCTCTCTCCTCAAGCTCATCTTCCATGGACTCAACTCAACTCCTTCAGTCTTCTCACATAAACCCTGCTTTCTGTGTTCCTAGTTGTTTTGTTTGGTTTTTTTTGTCACTCTCCTCTGAATTCTCTCCCAGTTTACCCTCAACTTTCTTCATCAGGCAGGGTGTCCAGAATAGACTTACCAAAGGCCAAGAGCAACAGAACTACTTCACATAACACGATGTTTGCCTTTTTCACAACAGCATGATGTTTTTGACCATGTCCAGCTTGTGGTCCAATATAATCCCTGACTTTTTTTTTTTTTTTTTTTGTCAGAATTGCTGCCTAGTTGGTTGTTGCTCATCCTGTACTTCTGTAGCAGATTACTCCTGTTTAGGCATGAACCTTGCTCTTGTCCTGATTGAACTGCATTCTACTTCTTTTTAGGATTATTTCTCCAGTTGTCAATATCATTTTGACTTGTCATCCTGTCTTCCCAACAAACTGTTAGTAGTTCTTGCAGTGTTCTACTCCGTTCTGTCAACCTTCTGGTACCGTGGTCGTCACCATAGAGCATGAGCACATTTTAGGAGTGAACCAAGCAGCTTGACTTTATATCTGTTATGTGCTTGTTTTCCCATCCCTCTCAAAAGATTATGGTCTTTCAAGCTGGAAACTAGCCATCCCAAGGCAGTGAAATGGCTTCTGGTCCATGCTCACACACCAAAATATGTCTTATCCAGAGCAAGAGCTTATTTAGAGGGCTTGAAAACTCATTTGCTCAGGGACTAGCAGTACCACACAGCTTCAGGCTCTGACTGAAACCAGGATGTTTTCCAAAAAGATATGACCATGATGATTCTATAATGGAGTCCGCAAGCACAAGTACCAAAAAAGTAAGGACCCTCAAGTCTAAAGTATCGCATCATCTCCCTGCATGGTATTACCACATAATAACATAATGTCACTGCCTCAGGTTTTGATTCTTTAAAAAAAAAAAGAAAAAAAACGAAAAAAAAGAAAAAAAAAGACAAAAAAAGACAAGGGAACCACTGAAGACAATGTAACAGTAGCAGAAGTTCTACTCCAGAGTCAGAATAGACTTCTGCATGGTCTCATACTCTTACCTAAAACATACCAAGGGAAAAACATACCAAAATAAAAGGGCAACACAAATGAACATAGTAGGAAAAGTATTTGTGCCCAGTGCAGACTTTCCAGGGTAAAGGAATATGCATGGCAACTGATGAGCAAATCAACGCAAGCTAGAAATAAAATTGGGAACAAGTGCGTGGGGTCTTTTCAGTCTGGAGTTCTCACATGCAGCATTCTATAACAGTTAAAAAGATCTTACCTTCAGAATCTGTAATCAAAGTCTCACAGAACATACATAGCAATTTCATATTTAAACAGCAGCTTAAATTGTTCTAGCCCCTCCTTCAAATCAAAGTAACAGCTTAACTTTAACCCCGGTAACTTCATATACACACACAACACACCTTCCCAAGTGAGATTTAATGCTTATTTCCATAGTCTTGTACTAAGAATGTTATTTATATCCATTAAAATCTCAACCCAAAAGCTTTTCTTTTTAAGAAAAAGCTTTACTTTAAAGATAAATATACCCTTGTATTTCAACTAGACTCGGTCACCTTATAAAAACAGGCCACTAATTGCTCCCATACGGAATTTGTATTGCATGCAAACCAAAACATACATGGAGGATTGCCTGACAAACCTTCCTCTCACCTTTAAAAAGAAGGAAAAAATCCCAACCAAGTAATTCCATGCATTTGCGATACTGTAAGTTCTGGCTTACCACTGCAGGTGGCTGATATCCTCCATGCTGTTGTGACTGCACTTGGCCAACTGAAGCTGCGTACCCCTGGACTGCAGCTGTTGAGATTGGCTGGTCGTGTTGGGAACCATAAGACACAGTCTGTTGACTGCTCACGCAAGATTCAGTATAAACAGATGACCCTTGGCCACTGTCAACTGTCCCGTCAGCTGCAGAAATTAAAAATAAAAATCCGCATTTCAATAACTGCAGTCTTGTTTCGTAACTTGAATGTATTATAGTAGAATGCTAGATTGCATTTGTTTCATGTCACATAGACTTTATAAGCATTTTACCTCTGCTAAAATTTATGCTGGCAGAAAAACTGAGGTATATTTTTCCTTTCTCAATATAGTAGTAACTCCTTACCAGTATGCCTTCACCTAACCTCTGAAAATCAGTAATTTCAGGAGTTCTTTGGAAAGATACTTAAAAGTAAATTATGCTCCCTATTAAATGCTGAACTAGAAATAAAAACTTAAACTCCATCTGTCATGAATGATCTTTCAGTTTTGTTTTATTATTTTTACTTATTTTTATACAGAAGCATAAAGCAGGTTGGTTGTGCTGGCTGGTAGATGCACCTGAAGTAGGCATAATAGAGTACTTAAAATCTCTACTTCCTTAGGGCAGATAGCAATTTGCTAATTTCATCACTCTAACATGGAGCTTATCTAACTTTATTATTCAGGTAGTTATTCAAATGTTGGGATGCCGGACAACACTCCCAACTTTACCTCATCTGTTCATGTTAAGTATGTAGAATAGGAAATTAAACTTTAAAAAAAAAAGAAAAAGTTCTGATCTAAACTGCTTGCAACAATCTAATTATCACCTTAAACAAAAGTTAGTAGCAATTCGTAGAGTTGTTTCTAATAGTTCTAACTGCACTGGTGCAAAACTATGCAACCTTCTGCACAACAATATATTGTCCCTGCAGGAGGGCAGCAAGAACTAGAACATACGTTCATACTTCAGGTGCCTGAGTTTGTTTCGTTTATTAACTTATAACAAAGGAAAATTATTTTGTGTTAAGACTGAACTGCAATTTGCACTGTTGACTTGGCTCAGCTAAGACACACGAATGCATCGTCTTTTGATGTACATTCCAGTGGCCTTATTTTCTTCAGCAGACAGCAACAGCATAAGATAATTAGTGCTATATCCACCAGAAGTTCAAAACTCTCTAAGGGTGGGGGAAATAGTGTAAGTGCAAGAGTTCCTAAATAAACCAACTGACACACTTACAAAGAATAGATATACTGGGTTGCTGGAACTGTAGTTGTTGGTGTTGATCAGCTTCTGGTTCTTCAGGCTCCACTTGTGTAGAAACTGATGCTGAAGTAGTGGGGACAGGAGTAGTACCACTGACAGATACAGGATGCTTTGACCCTGCATGGGAAGCACTTGAGGGTTGCTGTTGCTCCGGCTGCTGCTTCTGACTACCTTCTTCCTGAAGCTTCTTCTCCTGTTCTTCTCGCACCAACTGACGCTGTTCTCGCTTTCGCTTAATCAAAGATACCCTGTCCTTGATAGCTTTCGCCATTGTCTTGTGATCCCCTTCACAGACATAGCCAGATTCCACCTGAAGGAGGATATATTCACAGAATTCAGACTGTCATAGACAGCCACCGTTGCAGCACTACAACATAAGCTATCACTCTCTTGCACTAACTTCTCAGTCACAAACTTCTGAAGTAGTTTTATTTCTAGACATTAACGGTAAATGCAGAGGCTGATGGGCAATATTTCACTGTCAGAGAATGTCAATACCTTCAATGTTTTGCAAGACCACCACCACTTACCATTTCCTGTGCTACATCCTCTGGGACATCTCTCTCCAAGTCAAAGGAAAACTCTATCGCCTCATTATCTTTATATTTGCCCTTAAGTTTTTTGATGTCTTCAATTCGCAGCCAGAGTTTAATGGCAATTTTTTCTCCATCATCTTCCTCTGCTAGTTCTACCCGTACTCCAGTCTCTTCTTGGAAGAAAGCATGATTCAGAAGGTCCTTAATAGCATACCTAGCGCATTGGGAAAGAATGTAGAAAGCACACAGTTATTAGGTTTTCATAAATTATTAAGGAATGTCCCTGCCTGGTGATCCACTAAATTTATTGTCTACATTTCATGTTTCCTCCCATTAATCCTCCCATTAACTTGACAGCTTATCATCCAGATTTCTATATATAATCATGATAGAGAAATAAAGCACAGATGCAGGAAAGTCACACATCGGTCAGCAGAAATGCCCACAGATTTTACGTCAACAAAACTGAATAGGCTATGTGTTAACTAAAGAAGAAACAGTTTGGCTTTACTGAAGATTAAGATCTAACACAATCCACAGTCCCCAAATCAAATCAGTAATCATGAAGCATATATTTCAGTCTATTTCATGGTATTGTCAGAAGTCTCATCTAGCTAATTCACCACTAGCTAAGCACGACATGATTTCTTTCATATTCTGTACTATCTTGAACCTCTTCGACTTGTATGTTTGGCACAAATACCTTTGTCCAGAAGGTACCAAAGGTCGATTATGTTCTTATATACACAGAGTAACAGCAGTAGTCAAAAAGCTAATTGTTTAAGCTAAATGGCAAGAAAGAAGTGACATGCAGCCACAAAATTAACTCAGAATGGAAAAAAAAAAAAAAAGACAATTATTTTAAACAGCTTTTAAGCTGTTGTTTTATGAATAGAAATTAAAAATACACAGCAACACCATCAGATGGAAAACTTCAAGAATGAATAGAATGAAATTAATCTACATCCATAAACTGACAAAGCAGGCTCCAAACGCAATAGTGGGAAGCTATAGAAGGACAGAAGGCTGAGGCATTCTTAAACTCAACACTCAGTAAGCAACAACTATGTAAATGCAGAAAGTGAAACAAAATCCATCAAATAAGCCATTAGAGCAGCTACAGGTTTTCTGTAACGCTATAAGCTAATTACTTCAAGTAGATGTCATCTTGCAGAAAACTTGAATGAAAGTGAGCAGCAAGAACTTATAAAATAAAGAGCCCTCGAAATAACCAGCTATAAATACCTACAGAATCAAAGGGACAACAACAAAAAAAAACACAACACAGGACTATGGAATGATGAACCAACCAAATAAACCCATTATTACCTGGTAATGTGGAAAGACTGTCATACACTATTTTACTGATGAGGTCAAAGCTTTAAAGCAACAGTAGAATTTGAGTAAAACACCTTGGGTGGTTACCATAGCTTTTGCACTTTTTCTGGCACTAAGGCTGTAAAGCAAGTGTTAAATAAGAACCTACCAGAGAATAGATCCTGCAGAAGTAAAAATAGCTTCCTAACTTTCATCAGACCCCAACAAACTGTATCTGGTATTAACACAGTTACAGAGTCAACAGTAATACCTCTATCTGGACTAGAAAGAAAACTTACCTTTCGCCTTTGTTTTGCCGAATGCATCCCTCAATAATCTCCTTCACTTCAGGGATTGCTACTTTATCAAAGCTGGCTGGCTTGACACCCTGGAACATACAAGTAACAACAGAAAAACTGAAAGGCCCACTTGATTTAACTTTCAATTGTGCAAAAGTTCACATGCAAACCAACTATTTTTATTCAACAGGTAACTGGCCCAAATTGCCCACTAGTGGAAATTACCATGAAATCTGCCCCCAATCTTACCATTCATCTGTTTCCTAGTGAGTTTTTCAAACATGGATTTTTTTTCCCCATTTCTTAATTAGACCTCCATTACAGTAGGAATTGGCAGTTAGGTGCCAAGGTATGTTAAGCATACCATTTAGTTTCTACAGAAGGCATGATGGTTAGAGGAACATTCACACACTAGACCGGGAATGGAAATGTTTCCTACATAACACTAATGCACGAACCCACATGATTAACTTAACAGTCTTCAAAGGATTCTGCTGCTTCCCAGAATGTTTCCAACATGCCATTATATGAACTAATTTTGGCAGAGTGATTTTAGGGGAAAAACATTAGCCCAGAATGATCTGACTGAATCATTAAATAACTTGGTCAGTGTTTAAAAAATAATTTAAAAAAAGACTTTCTTGTATCTTAGCTCTTCCTAGATCTACTAATCTCCAACCACACAATGATTACCACACAACCACACAACCAATGATTACTGCTGAACTCCGGAAAGTTAACAATATGCACCTTTCCAATTGCTCTTCAACAACACATGACAATTCTTTCTCCAATACATGTTAAAGCCATTGGGAACAGAGGGAAACAAAATTTAACTCCAGTCAACTACTCATTTCAGTCAAGCAAATAAACCATAAGATATGCTCAGTTGGGTATCCTGCAAGCACTGCAGGCACAGAAAGCCAAACTCCACCATTTAATCATGTCCAAAAGCTCCATTTCAGGAGGTCAGTTGTCCAAAACAGCAAAATTTGGCACTCAATTTTACTTGATTCAGCCTTTAGCTTCAAATTCTGTATTTTAGGACACAAGAGAGGATGGAGCCATCTTGTTTAAATGTCATTATCTGAAGTGCCCAAACTTTCAAACCAAACAATCGTGAAATCAGTACAATTTGGCACACAATAGTACGTGTTATGAGCCTTCAGTTCCTACCTACCACCTACACAGGACACATCTGACGCCGTGTCACTGGCAAATTGCAACGAAACAAGGGAAAAACCACAGAGTGTAAAGTACAGATACACATGAAGCAGTAATACAAGCAGCATGATTTGTGTGCTAACAAGGAAGTATTTCTCTCAGCGTACCATTAGATACCTCTCCCACCATTCCTCTATTGTCAGTAGCAAGGAAGGCTTGAAATGGAAAGGGTCAAGTCTCTGAACCGGAGCCTTTGCAACTGCAGACCATCATTTAAGGGAGCATGAACTTAATATGATAGTAATTTTCATCTATATTCAGATACTGTTTTTCTTCATAATTTTCATCTACGTTCAGATACCGTTTTTCTTGGCCAAGCATTGCATTACATTGAATTCAATATGCTCACTAGCTAAGATACTCTCTACCACACTCTTCCAGGAGAGGGCACAGTGGACTTTAACAGATGCAAATGCAAGACTGGAGGTGCATAACCACCCAGTCATTCAGTGAACAGTAGCATTTGTCTTTATGTTGTACAAAGGTGTTGTGATCATGTCTGGAATTTAAAAGAAAGGACAAGGACTACAGAAAGATGCAGATCTTTCACTTAATAAAAACTTCCTGTCAGAACAGCATTCTGGATTTTCTATTTCTTTGCTCTAAGATTTGCTCCTATGAAATTTTAGCAATTGAGATTCACGGAACTGAAGAGTATATTGTGACAAGAGTAAGCCCTGAAACACAGCCTGTCAGTGAACATTAATTTAATTCTTAAAAGCTTCGGTGAACATCAAACTTCTGAAGATCGGTGCCTCAGCTGGCAAGACACCAGAGCAAAGTTTGCCCGAGTAAATTTTAATATTGTAACCAGGTCACATCATAAGTCTCCAGCTACATGTCACAGAGCAATGCGCTCTAAGAGATTCATAAAACTTGTTTTTGCATTTACTACTTGCATCAAGTACCCGTTGCATTTGTCTCTGCTCATACAGCACTGATGAGTCGCACAGACATCACCTTTAACCATGGCCAAGCTTAAAATGGTCCCAGCAGCTCATGTTCATGTATGTACAAGATAGGTCTTTCTATATAGAATAAAATGCTCACCAACGTGCATATATATGCAGGCATAGTATGTGCAATAGTTATTTGTGTGCTTGTTGAATAGATTTATATCTAAATTTGCCAGAGAAGTCGCCTAAAATTTACCACATTCGATACTTCTAAATAGCCCAAGTTCCAGCCATGCCAGCAGCCCACATGTATGTTCATTTATACTGTGGCAGTAAAAGGAAGGTGTCGGATCTGTGCCATGATCTCATGTCAGAAAAACTGAAAACTAAGATGAATACAAGACAACTGGTACAACAATGTCATTAACGTAAAGAAACCAGAATGCGAGCCGTCTTGTTGCCCATTTGACTACAAGCTCTGCTCTTGCACAATGCCGGGGGGAAAATAAATAAATAAATAAAATCTGTGATTCAGTCTGATACTATGCATATCTCTATCCCGAGAAGTTAAATACTTGTGCAAAGTGTTTGGGACCTTCCATAGAGGCCAGTTTGGATTATTCCAATTTGCGAGTTCCAAAACAGTAGTTCAGTTAAGAAGAAAACCCCTCCAAGACTCTTCCAGCACACCTTCCATATTCCTGTTACTCAGAAAATCTGGGAGACCTTCAGACTAGGGCCTAAAACCAAAGCAGGACTAGGTATTCAAGCACCTTTCTTAGCTTCTTCCCCAGAATTGCTTAACTCTAGCGCTGGCCAAGCATCCCTTATGCTAAAGTTTAGGCTATTTAAGTAGCATCAGCCTTAAAAAAAAAAAAAAAAAAAAAAAAAAAATCCCCTCCAAGAGTTGCAAATGTCAGACTACTTCACATAGCAAGACAGAAGATAGTAAAGATAGTATTAATGATAATTAATACATCAACACAGAGTTGCTTTTACACCTTCATCACACCATCACAGAGAAACCAAAGGGGAGCCCTACAATGCAAATAACCTTGATGTGTCCTTAAAAGCTGAGGAGCTGGGCAGCCAAGCATACTCTCACTAGATTCCAAACGCAAAGGCGCTCAAGTACATACTGAGCAACTCAGTGCTCCTGGTTTTAACACTTCACACTTACTGCAAGACTGTCACGTTCTTGCATGCTTCTCCTCATTCTCTCCCCAGTCTCCAAACTGCTTAGAAAAAACACATAATCCAATTGTTTTTTAATCTATTTGTCCCATTAATCAGAGCTAAATACCCAAATCCTACTAGCTTTTTTTTTTGTCTTAATAATTTGCTAAGGAAATTAAAGGAAGAGCTCTTGCAAAGGAAAATAAAAGCGTAGGTAGGTATAACAGGCACACATGAAATCAAACATTTTCCCAAGCTACTGTCTACAACAGCATGAACTGGCACTGGTGCTGAAGGCAGCAGTCTCCTGCTCTCCACATCCATGTCATTTCTCCCCCTCTTGCTGGCACAAACCTTTATACAGCTGCATAATGAACCAGATCACTGCATTTATCAGACTTGAAACAAACTCGGCCAGGTTCACTGCATTGTGGCACAAGCTCTGAGGCTTACAAAAGGAGCGCTAGGGCTATAGCTAACAAGGGCAGAATCGCTTCCCTTGAAAGCAGTGCAAACTTCAAGGAAACTTACTAATTTTTACATTTTGTAAAATGTAAAAACCTTTACATTTAAACTTTAAAATATGGGCACGTATGTAAAGTAGCACAAGGTGCAACTGATGCAAAGCTGAGTATTTACTAACACTTATCTTAGTCTTCATTTTAAGCACAGGAAATTTCACGTTTCGCTTAACTTAGACATGTTAAATTTTGTGATTTTATCACATTTTAATCAGGTTAAAAAAATTGAATTCCAAAATTGTAACATCCACGTTTGTATAGTTATACGATCCGCTAAAAGCAAGTTCTATAACTCTTAAAAATTCCGTATTTTCAAAATATGTTAAGCACAAGAACTCCTCTTCACAAATTTTGCCTAGAAACATGGTATTTTGCATCAGTGCTCACCAAATAACTGAATCAGTGGTTTAACATCTCATTGTAATTCAAAAGATACTGAAAATATCATAAAAGAAGATACAATCAATGCTGTATTACCTATTATACAAAAAAAAAATGAAGATAAAGCATCATATGCCCTCAGAAATCCTAATTATAAAAAAAAAAAAAAAAAAAGAAAGAAAGTAGCAACACAGCTTGGAAACAGCAGGATCAACAAGTGTTCTAGCTTTGCTGTTCAGGATCTTGAGAATTCGGATCCACCACCCCCCAAGTCCTTCACTGCAGCTACACACAATTCTTCTGGAGCTGACACTCTCACCTACCTCTTTAGCGCAATCCTTGTGAGAACAGCAACAACAGTGGGAATTAACAATTACAAACACGGGACAGAGCTCTCTTTTTGTAAAATCCATCAGGAAAAGAGATGCACACACCAAAGAGTTAGCTGGGTGTTAATTTCCAAAGGGAATCCGTTAGGCTGTGGACTTAACGCACAGCGGAGGGAAAGCAGACATCAAAGTTAGAAGGAAGCATTGTTTTCTGTTTGATACCCCTTGTACTTTTCCAAGTCCAGTACATGAGGCTGCAGAGGTTCAAGCTCAATATCTGCTTTTGCCACTCAAATTCTGAATGGAAAGAATGAATGTAAGCAAGAGGTAAGCTTCTCCTTTCCTGCCTGCTCAGCTAGCTGCGAGGAGGAGGAAGAGGAGGCAGCACAGGGAGCCTTTACTTCCTGCATGTCCCCGCCTCCCCGTCTGGCTGCTCTCCTATTCTCCACCCAGGTTTTCTACCATAGTTTAAGGCTGCAGGAGCATCACCCAGCTCCATGCTGGCTGTGGCAGAAGTACACTTGGGAATGGATCAGTCAGTATATGTTGCTCTGACCCAAGC